CGCGGCACGGCCTTCGTATCCCGGAGCGCGTCCTGGCCGGGCGCGAGATTGAGCAGGAGCTGCAATAGCTGTGGACGCGGTGCGAGGCGCGGACGAGCGCCGGCTGAGTCCATGTGATGTCGACGGCGCCGCGGGCCTGGCGTCGCGGGCGCCGCGGGCGTCGCGGGCGTCGCGTGCGTCTGATAGGAAGGCGCTGCAGCCTTGTGGGAGCATTGGCAAACAATCCGTCTCGAAGCGTCGCACCACGAACACCGTCACCTCTCCCGCCGGCACCTGCTCCCGTGCGCCCAGCACTGCCCGAACCCACCTCCCATCCGGGCAGCTGCCGGACGCGGCACTGCCACGGCCATGGCGGCTCGTCTCACTCTCACCCAGCGCAAACCCTCCGACCGCCAGTGGCCGCCTTGCGCGCTGCACTGAGGCTTCCCCAGCCCGGGGGACCGGCCGCCCCGCGCGCGCATGCCAGAGAGCGGAAGCGCCATGTCTCTGGGAACGGCGCAGCGAAGCCCCTGGACCGCCTCCCGACACACCAAGGCCCTCCGCTGCGCCCGCAATCAAGCGCGTAGCACCGACATTTGGAATCTCTGACGTATCGCTAGCCTGCTTCAGCCAAACCGCTTCCGACGAGGTCACCCTCCTGCTCACCAGTCCAAGGCAGGCGGTCATACACGGTGCTGTATACAACCCCCGTCCGAGTACGCCCCATCTTGCATGAGCCCTCACCGAACTCTCCCGCATGCCCGTTCCTTTTTCCGCAGACCTGGTCCCTACCGCGCCACTGCCTCTGCTTTGCGTCACCGCATCATCCCAGACTGGAGCCTTGGTTCTATCACATCCTACTCTCGCCCTATCCCCTGTCTCCCCCTTCTTACTGCTCGTCGCCCCTGTGCCAACTCCAGCTACCCGGCCTTCCCCCTTCCTTCTCTTCTGTCGAGTCGGCCCATTTACGCCCCACGTCTAGACTTCCACTCAGCGGGCACTCGCGTCACTGCGCATCAGGTGTCGTTCGCCTTGCTCCAATGTCATGACTGCCCAAGTGTAGCAGGGCGCAGAGTGCGACCCTGCATATACGTCACCTATTTTGCGTTGGGTATCGAGCCTATACCGTTCTACTCACCGAAAACTGCAAACACCTTGCGCCTCGCTGTGCGGTCGGCTCGTCGTCAGGAAGTGCCAGGAGAGTCTTGTGATGACTCAAAGGCCGCAGAACATGGGTGACAGTTGAGTAGCTGGGTCCAGACCGTACGTCCATCATACGGTAGGTTGGCGCTTTCCTTGGCTTGATACTAGCGTAAAGAGCAGCCATGAGCATCCTATTCTCGACCCGAGCATATCCACGACAGCCTCGCAGTCCAATGCGGAACAATGGCATGGCGCAGTCGACCAATCGCACTCGCCAATGCTTTGTAACGTACGACTCGGCCGCTATTATTATATTTTCCACAATAACTTCGCAAAGCAGTCACTATCTCCATGTGCAGTCCGTAGGCTCGGATGCTCAGGTCTGGCCCTTCGCAGATCCGGCCTCTCCCAGCCCGAGATTTGCCCCGCCAACACGATAAATAAAGAATGATCAACACCAAGACTCAATCTTTCTGCCCGTCAACTCGTTGCCCGTGTCATTGAGGATGGCGATTGCCACCGACGCACGGATGGCCAGTGTACCCACATCTTTGGGTCCGTCAACGCTCCGACCTTTCACTACCAAACTCTCTTTCGCTTCTCTGACCACCGGCGCAGCCATCCCAAACAACAAGGAGAAGAGGGAAAAAAAAAAGCGTATGCGCCAAAGACGGAACCCTCCGAACAGGCGAGCAGAAAGCGGAGGAGGAAAACCCAAACAGTGAAACGCCACTGACGGAAGGTCACTTGATCCGTCTCTCGAACGAGGACCCCATTCCTGCCCAACCGGTGGGGAACGGGTTGTTGCATTTAGCTCCGCCGATCGCCGACAAGCAAAGTTTCCGCTTCGGGTTACGTAACCCAGCCTGGTGCGGGGATGTGGTGGGAACCGCTGATCCTGCGAAGCGTTCTAGAAGAACATCGCAGCATCATACGTAGTAGTACGGCTATGCGGTTGCCATTGCGCACTGCCATGGACTGCGCAGCCGCAGGCCCCGGGCACGGAGCAGAAACGAACGTTTCAAGCTTTCTTCTCACCAACGCCGGGTGCGGTGGGTGATCGTGTGTCTGCCTCCTGTTCTTCTCTTCTCGTCGCACGGGCCTTGGGTTTCTTCATTCCGCTCTGCTTGGCTTCATTCCGTCGAGGGTGATCGTTGCAAGTCGACGGTGGAGCAGGGCGCATGGACGGGGATGCCTGGTCGAGATCGGAAGTGACAGGAGTTCGCGTCCGAACCATTACCGGGTACGGACTGGGTGGGTGGTCGATGCTTCTTTTTAGGCCCGCCCCTAACTATGTGACTAGACTCTCCATTCCTATTCCCGGTAGGGAGCCTGATGACCGACGTAAGGGGACGAAGGATGCAAACCGCCATCCACCATCCACCATCCACCATCGGTCCGAGCGCCATGGGATAGCCACGAGAAGCAGGTGTGGCTTCATCGCCCGATCTCTCGGGTAGTGTGGCGTCGGCGTCTCAGGATATGCTTGTGCCAGCCTTACAGTCCCCCAATTATGCCTCGTGACCTTCTTGTTTTGTTTTGGCTAGCTCGGCGCTGAGGGACTCGGAAGAGGGATATTCTTTTCCTGTAAAAGGAGCTATCTCTTGAGCTTGCAATAATCCCCGTAACATGCCCAGGCAGAATTGCGTTAGTGGAGCCACAGAAATGGAAGTCCCTTTCCTTCCAACCGTCACCGCTTACCATCACTCAGTGACCGGTAGTCCTAGTTCACACGGAGATAGTTACAACAAACAAGATAACCATAGCTCCCATGCTCATATCCTTCCGCTGCTCCGGACTCTTCCCGTTCCAGATTCTCCCGGCCCGGGAAGATGCCTGCAGCTCGCAAGATGCTTCCAGTGGCTGTGGTTATTCCCGCCCGCTGCAAGGCCTCCACAGAGCGTCGATCCAGACGCCTTGAAGAAGGCCAATGAGACGGCGTGAGAGGGCTGCGAGTCATCGGCACGGGCGGACGCGCGTATCATGCAGGGTATGCTGAGGTGCATGAACGGCGTCTTCAACCACGCAGTGGAAGGTTTAGTATGTACAACATCATACGTGCCGGACCCCCTGCGGTTGGTGACCATCCGGGAAACATGGACCTCGGAACGCTACCGTAGTGTTCCTCCCTAGATAGGTAGTGTGTTAGAACAATGGCAATTGGGTTTGGCTTGCTTCATCCCCACCGACGACACTTGGAGAGCTTTTGTCTTAACTAGAGTCTTTATAAGTATCGCCGCGTCCTTGATGTAGAAGAAAATACAATTTTTCGTAGGAAATGTGACAAGCTTCTCCTGTGAGCTGCTTTATGAAAGGAGCGATTCATGTAGCTAGGACTAAGCATTTGCCGGTGGTCTCATTGTTTAACCGTCATCGCTCTATCATTTTTGACATTTCCATCGGTTCACTTCTCACTCTCATCACAAGAGAGATATTCAGGTAATCATATCCAACCGCTCTATTCTCTAATAGCTATGCAAATGGTTGTGTTAGTTCGACGCAGTCATTGACGTTGCGTATCTTTCCTGTAGAAGGCTTCAACATAATTTTAGAACTGTCGGTTTAGTAGCGATATAGTCGCTTTTCTACTGGTGATGTGACAAACCTTTCAAATGGGAAGTGGCTTCAGACTATACGGCTGCGGCTTCGTTTCAATATCAAGGTGGTATCGGTCATCACCGACGACGGCACTCAGTCCAGTATTTCGCAGAGAGCTACGAGCTTTGCTAGAGACGTTCTCAATGAAAACTTTCGAGAAATCAGGAAATGTGCCACAATAGTTGGTAAGCAACCGTGCTTATCGGGAGACTTCCGGAAATATCCTACACTCCATGGTTGATAGAGAGGAGAGATGCAGCTCAGGTTTGGAGTGTGCTGACCGCGACACAGCATATGCCAGTACTTTGATTGTCACTGTCCATCAAAGGCAGCCAACAAAGTAGCTCACCCCAATAGACCAAAATTGGACGAGGCTAGTTTTGTAAGTCTAGAGTACGCTGTGGCAACGAATGAAGCAATAGTATCCTTCGACGTTTATCATTTTACAATTGCTCGAAGGTGTACACTGCCACTTCAAGCGGACGACATCGTATGATGGGGGCCAAGTGCATTGGCTATTAGTGCTGCGAAAGCATTTATGACATGAGCGCCGGAGATGTGGCATCAACGATTTTGATTCTGATCACGGAAGATCAGATGAGTATGCTGATCACCGCGAAATGGACCGCTTACGAGGCGAGACTTGATAGCACTAGTAAATCCTGGGAACAGTAGTATTGAAATGCGATCCTTATCCGGTCATGACAGACGCAGCGAGCTGTAGAGGATTGAGGTTGCCTGTATCTATCTTGTAAGCTTTTAGGTAGTGGAATCCCTCGTCTGACTACACAATTGTGGTCGTTGAAATCTCGCATCTACATCCAGGCACTTGCTTCAACCACCTACGTCGGAAGAAGGTAGCATCTTGTGTAGGGCGGAAGGATCAAACCTGACATTGGACATCCTCGGACTGCTCGAAGTTTTTAAAGCTCACAGAATCCCCGGCCAAAGGATGCATGAAGTTCCCGCTGGTGTGCATTTTGTAGATAGTAAAATTTTGATCCGAACCTACTGTGACCGTCCGGATACTTCCAATCCCATATGTTACAATTCAATCGGCTGCAATGATTGTTCCCTCCCCCGAAGTCGAGGCCTGGTAGTTCCATGGGTGCTCTGAAGACAACGGTAAAGCGATTTGAAGAGTGGTCCTCTCTCGTTCATCCACCTCGCGCACAAATGTGTGCATACAGTGTTTTTTCCTCGGACTTCAAACTCTATGCCTCAGCGCTCTTGTCCTCGACGCTTTTGTCCTCGACACTCTTGGCCTCTACACTCTTGGCCTATGCTACATTCGCGGCCTCTGCCTCCTCCGTAGTCCTGACGGTCAACTCGGTGATCCTTAACTCGGTGTACCTGTGCTTGCTCTTCGCATGCCTGACATGCCTTCTTCTCCTCTTGGTCTTCTCCTTCACCCGCATCGGCTCGCTCTCCACGCCCACGACCACGGCCCTGCACACGAACAGCCTGTCATCCAAGTAATTCATGATGGTGCCGGGGCGTTCGCGCGTGCCCTTGACCGGGGCGGGGGCGCGCAGGGTGAAGTCCCTGCTTCCGAGGAGCGTGGCGCGGTTGAGGCGGAGCACGTCGCCGAGCTGCACGCCGTGCATGAGGAACGGCAGGCGCAAGGTGTCGCCGGCCGTCAGGAGATAGGGCCTCGCGTGGATGTGGGCGGAGATGTAGTGCGGCTTCTGGGCCTGCAGCAGCGGCAACAGCTCCTTGACCGAGTCGGAAAGAGGCGTGGTGCCCTGCGAGGGCGCTTCGGCGGACGGAGAGGGCAGCGGCGCGGAGGCGGACGAGGGCGCGGAGGCGGAGGGGGCCGATGCGGCTTCGGTTGGTCTTCTCGCGGGCTCGGAGGTCTTGTGCACGCCGGATCGGATGAGCTCGTCGGGGACGTTGCCGGGCTCGAGGGTGTTGGAGACGGTGGAGAGAGGGCGTGCGCGCACGGGCAGGATGCGGGCGGCGGGCATGAGGGCATTGGCGCCCTGGACGGAGAGCCGTGCTATCGAGCGAGACAGCATTGTGAGGAGCGAGGCCCGCGGAGCGTGGACGGACAGCAATTGCACGCTGGAGTTGGGCGACTGCTGCGGAAGTTGTGCTGCATCGGCGGGCGCGGGCGTGGTCGGCCGCGCTGTTTTTCCAGCCGCCAAGCAGCCGCCAAGCCGGGCCCGTGCGTATCCGCCGCGCGACTGCACACCTCTAGAAGTCTACCTAATTGGGTGTTGGCCAAGGGGAAGAAAGACATTCCTATCAGTGGGCATAGCCGAATAAACGTCAAAGGGCCACTACCAGATAGAGTCGAAGGGAAAATTCTGCCCAATGTTCCCTCGCACCGTTGGCGATCACGGTTGCTTCTTGTGAGCTTCGGACTCGTCACTAGAATGTTCACCAAAAAGCATTTCGAAATGGCTTTTCTTATGATACTCTTAGCTTGATCTCTACACAGGCACGCTGTGTTTTGAATCTCCCTGCACTAAATCTTCATTCGCCCAAATCAAGGATAGAAAACCTCCCATGTCCCCCGAAAGACAGGATGTCAAAAAAAAAAAAGCAAACACGTCCTGATACTTTCCCTTTCGCTCAATCTGCATTTCCAAACGCCGTTCCATGCATAGAATATAAAGGCTCGAAAAGGTCCGGACATAACATGCCTCCCATATTACGGCAAAAGATATTCGTAGTATAATGACTTGAAGCTCACAGAGCATCCTCCATCTCCTCGTCGCCTTCGTCGTCATCTTCACCCATCTCCGGTTCGGGCGCCATCTCTTCCTTGACATCCGTCTCGTCCAAGTTGACAAGGTAGTTGCTTTCCTCAGCGTCCCTGTTGAGCATCCACGTGTTGGCGAATTGGCCAGTGCGGACGAGGGTGGCCACCTTGGAAAGCGTTTCGCGGAGGTAGGCTTCGGGTTGTTGGGTGCGCTCTTTGAGCGCCTTAATAGGCCAGTACTTGTACTCTTGGAAGAGCTTGAGCAGCATATCCAGCAGCTGGTTCTGCGGGATACGGGCAAACTTGTTGTCCTGGGTTTTTGGCTTCGCCCTGGCTGCCTGGATGTCGATAGTGGGGTTGCCAGCCGGGGTAGTGCCACCGATGAGGCGCGTGAACTCGTGCAGGTTGTTCTCGAGCACCAAGCGGTTGGACGCCTGCTGCGTCTTCTTGTTCTCGCGCAAACGGAAGCGCGCCAGCTCGGCATTATCAACAGGAACGCAGTTGACGTCGAGAGCAGACCGGGCCACGAGGGTTGTATGCTTGGGAATCGGCTGCTTCCTTCCGTTTCGGCCGCCTCGGTTCCACCACTTGTCTACCCTGCCGTCTTTAACGCCGCCTCCCTGGCCGGCAAAACTGCCCTGCTGGCCCTGGCGGGGCCGCTTGTAGGCGTTGGGGTTGTATCCTTCCAGATCCTTCTCGGAAAAGACATACTCGTTGATCGGGTTCGGGTTGGTGACGTTGAGCCTGTACTCCTTGGGGTAGTCGGCAAAATCACCCACAGTCTGGCGCAGTTGGAGCTTCCTCTGCGCACGCCACACATGTCAGCGGAATGCCAGCGTAGGGAGTCCAAGACGTGTCGCAGCGCACCTTGGTGTCGTTGCCCTCCTGCCACTCCAGAATGCGACCAATCTCAATCTCGTCGTCGTCCTCGGCCTTGGACAGGACCTCCCACAACCATTTGGGCACGCGCGTCAACCACACCTGGCGGTCGCCAAAGTCGGTCGGGATATTGAGCTCGCCGGTGTCCTCGTACATGTCGTCGATGTCGGCGAAGCCAGGGCCGCCGGGCGACTTGGTGTCCGGGTCGGGCTTGATCTGAGCATCAACCTCCATCTTGACTCCGTTCATGGCGCTGGCAAGCGCAGCGCGGTCAAATGGACGGGTTGCCAAGGGTCTCGGGGCTCCTGCGGAAGCGACGGGGGCGTGGTGGGCGGGCGCGGGTGTGGGGAGACGGGGCGGGCGCAAGGCGTGGACAATGGGCGAGGTGGTTGTAGTAGTTGCGGAGGCGGAAGACAAGCGCAGCCTGCAAGCAGCGTCACGGCGTCTCCGTCATGCCCAGCCGCGACGCGAGCTCGGCGCCTGTGCCGCGCCCGCGCCTGCCTTGTACTACGGCTCTTATCGCCGATAAGCTCCCGCCGCCTCCCACTGCGACCACCTTCTCGGAGCTTTGTGCTGCTGCCTCCAGTCTGAGCTCCGCCTGCAACCGCCCCCGCCTCTTCTCCGTGCCAACGTCCAGTCTCGAAAACACTACCATGAATCCCGATACGCTTGCCCCTGCCGACGTCACCACAGCTCTGCAGGAGCTCGAGGCGTCGCCCGTCGCGTCCAAGACCACCGGCTACGACGAGCTGCTCACCAACATCATCGATACCTCGACCCCCGATACTCTCGCCCCGAACCTCGTGGCATACGTCGAGTCGCTTTTGGGAGACACTAATGGCATTGTAACATCACGCCGACTGCTTGCATCTTTCGTCTCACGCTTCCGCGACATCGCAAATGCCGACGTCAAGGTCGAGGTGGGCACGCGCGCATTGGCTCTGCTGGCACCCAAGGTCGTGTCGTACGAGGAGCAGGATACTGCCGTCAAAGAAATCCTAGCGGATGCCTACCAGGAAAACGACGACTTTATTGCATCCGCCAAGATCCTCCAGACCATTCCGCTCGACTCGTCCCAGCGCACCATCTCCGCCGACGACAAGGCCGCCGTGTGGATCCGCATCGTGCGCTGCTATCTGGAGGAAGACGACCCGACGTCCGCCACGACATATCTCAACCGCGTGAAGAACGTTCTGCACGACGTCACGGACAAGACCACCAAGCTCCAATTCCAGCTGTCTCAAGCCCGCATCCACGACTCGCAGCGGAACTTTCTGGATGCCAGCGCAGCCTACCACCAAATCAGCAACGAGCTCATCATCGACGAGGAGGAGCGTCTCCACAGCCTTTCTGCCGCCATCGTCTGCGCTGTCCTTGCCCCCGCCGGTCCCCAGCGCTCGCGCACCCTCGCCCGCCTCTACAAGGACGACCGCGCCTCGCAGGTGGACCAGTATGCCATCCTCGAGAAGATCTTCCTGGACCGGCTCCTCATCCCGGCCGAAGTCGAGGCGTTCGCGGCCAAGCTCCAACCGCACCAGCTTGCCAAGACGTCGGACGGCAGCACAGTGCTCGACAAGGCCGTGCTCGAGCACAACCTGCTTGCGGCCTCGCGCTTGTACAGCAACATCGGCATCGACCAGCTGGCCGAGCTGCTCAACGTCGACGCCGAGCGCGCCGAGGCTTACGCCGCGCAGATGATCGAGCAGGGCCGCCTGGCTGGCTACATCGATCAGATCGCCCGTTACATCTACTTCGAGGGCGGCGAGGGCTCCGGCCAGCGCAAGACCGGCCACCTCGAGCGCGTCGTCGGCGGCGAGCTGCGCAAGTGGGATGACAACGTCAGGAGCTTGGCCGAGGAAGTCGAGCGCGTAACGACCATGGTTCAGAGCCAGCATCCCGAGTTCTATGCGAAGACAATGGTGGTCTGATGAACAGAGAAGGTGGCCATCTAAAAAGGGAAATGGGCCATGTTGTCCGATGAACCCAAAAAAGAAATACAAGTAATGACGGGTACTGGTACTTACGGGGGATCTTGGCTGTGCTTTCCATAGCGCTTGGCGTTTTTATTATTTTTTATTAGAGATATCTCAGTGCATAACGGGAAATTTCGCCGTAGAGTTAAGAGGAGGTTGTGGCACAGAGGAGATAGGCCTATCTGCTGCACCGGGAAAGTTCCGCGTGCTAGAAGGTATGATCCTATGGAAAATTTTAAATATTTTACAACCTTTTGATATTGGCGTTGAGTTCGACCGACAGGCATGGCGAAGTCGCGGATCAAGAAGCACGCCAAGTTGCAAGTGCACCAATAACCCGTTAAGTACCATGATGTAGGGTGATGGTGTCCAGCTATGCGTTTGAAATGTGCCAGCGGGTGAGTGCACACAACCACGACAGGACGTTGTTCCTGCTTGGAGTGTGCGGGCGCGGTCCGCGCACTGGTCATCATGCAAAGGGTGGCCGACAGCAGCCCCCCACCCTCCACTACCGGTGTGGAGAGAGTTGACACGGCTCTGGCTGGCCGCAGTGCCGAAACCGTCAGTAGTCTGGCGGCAACAAAGGGTGCCGTGCTCAAGACCCTGTGCTGATCTACGCGGCCGAAGTGCCATCGTCGGGTGTGGGTCATCGCGTCAACAGCCCTGTTCCCCGCAACACGGGCATCCAGTAGGAGCAAGGGTAAATGTCAGACTGTGAAGTTGAGACGAGGTGTAGTCGCTTAGAGTTGCACAGCATGGATCGGGAAAGTTGAAAAGCCCTTTCTTTATTGGAGGCTCGATATCCAGAACCATCGTGATCGGTGCGTCCCTGCTGAGGTTTCAACGTATGATCACTGTTACAGAACTGACAAGACCCAACTTGCAGGAAGAAGTATCCCGTGATCTCTGTAAAGGTCATCTCACCCTGCACTCGGTCCCGGACCCGCAGCGGGAGAGGCTGAGGCCGCCAAACGAAAACGAACCAGGTCGAGCAAGATCTTTCGAAGCTGTAAGACATGTCATTGCCCGCTAACGCGGATTTCGCACTGCTGCTGGCGCGCCTGATGCGCGACCTGCACACCCTACCGAGCACGAGAGGAACGAGGACGTGCTACTATCTCGAGAAGCTGCAGTAACTGGACGAAGAGCAAGACGCCCGCCGCCGGCTTCTTACGCACCAAGAGGATAGCGCCGACGCAAAGCCATCCCGTCCGCGCCGAATCAACCGCCCTCGCGAGGCTCGCGGGATTGCTCGTTGCGCCAGTTGACCGGTTGCGGAATTTGGGGTTTGCTCGTTCCCATCGGCGGAATAAGGCGGTGATCTCAAGTGCATTTTAGCATTTGCCATCTCCACATTCAAAGAAGCAGAAAGGTCGAATGAAACGGTGATTGAGAATAAAAAAAAAAGTTCATGGGTGTCTGTGGGCAGTAGAGTGCTTTGGATGTACATATCTTCGTAGGAGGGAGGAAAGTGGCCAGAATGCACTGTCAGGAATGCCAGCATACGAGTACAATGACCAAGAAACGATGAAGCCAACCTTAGCGGCAAGAAGAAGACAGCGATATTCAACGCCTTCCCAGCTCCTTCTTGCAGAATTCCCCAAAACTCAGTCATCATCAAGGGACCGAGGAGAAAACGAACACAAAGATGTCCGCCCAGCATTTCGAAACATCACGTGTTCATGGGCTACCTTGCCTTCTTTCTAAAGTACATTTCTAATACACACTGCGCTCGCCAGGTCAATCGCAGAGAACTTTGGGGAGGATGGCGGTAACGACGCCTACCGAATTTCGCCAATGATGGCAGCGGCCTCCTTGTACATCTTGAGCATCTTCTCGCACTTCTCACGTTCCGACTTGATGGCGTCGTCCTCGTACAAAAGCTCCTCAAACAGGGACTCCTTGTAGAGTTCGCTGACCAGCCTGTTTTGGATCGAGTCCTTGGAGAAGTTGACCAAAAGATGCATGACAGCCTTCGGCACTTGGTCGGCAATGGTCTCGCGAACGATGTTGAAGTAGGACGAGATAAGACGTTGAATGAGCTCCGTTTCCAACGCTTCGCGCTCGGTAAGCGCAGGAGGCTCCGGTTCTCCAGGCTATTCCATGTCAGTAACAAGCCTCCAACGCCAGAGGTGTGTCAACTTACGAATGGGCTGTCATAATCATTCCGGGGGAACGTAGGTTCGGGTTCGTCTTGGCTAACATCAAAGATGGGAGGGCGCTCGACTGTGTGGTTGTCGCCTCTCCTAAAGCTTCCAGCAAAGCTGGGTTCTTGGCTCTGCATAACGTGCCTGCTGCCGGGACGCGTGTCCAGCATAGGGTTCGGTGGAGTGTTCGGCATGGGCAAACCGCCCTCCTTACCGAAGAAGTAGTTCAAGAAGCTATCCTTGGTGGACCCAGGTTGCTGGAACCTAGGCGGCGAGGCTCCACGAGCACCATTCAGTGCGCTTGCAATTCCGGAGGGAGTAGCGCGCCCAACAGCCGGAGACATGCTCCTGCTGTTCTTGCTGGAGTGGCCGCGGATGGTCAGATTGGCGGCTTTTTCCCCAGGGGCTTCTGTCTCATCCTGTTGGTCTTCCGGCGTTTCCGTCCCGTTGACGCCATTCAGCTCCCTCAAGCGCTTCTTTTCTCTCTTCTTCTTTTCCTCTAATACGGCCATCTTCCTCTCCTTCTCCTGCTTGTCTTGAATGACAGAGGACATAGCAGCAGCCGCGCCAAGGAAGTTGGGGTGGTTGGTGTTAATGTACGCGCGCTGAATCGAGATGAGAGATTCCACATAGGTAGAGGAGGGGCCGAGTCTTTCACGCAGCAGATCGGAAACTACTTCGATCAACTTAGCCTGAAGGCGCGGGTAACGGCTGAGCTCGTTGGAGCCGCAAGTGTGGCAGATCTTGATCAGCTCCTCGTAGACGAGCTCAACGCAACGCTGACTCGGAGGCTCAAGAAGCTTGATCTGAGGCCTCACAAGCAGGTCGAAAGCCATCTCTGGCACGAACAGACTGGGCCGAGGACCTGTCGAGTTACGAATCGCAGTCCTGATATCCAGCGTGGACAGGTTCTGGGTGGGATCGATGGTGTCGAGAGAGTTTCCAAAAACCGAGTTGAAGATGTAGTAGATTCTGGCTCCACCGCAAAGCTCCCGGGTGGAGATCTCCGAGGAAGTACCGTCGATGGAAGAGATGAAGGATGAAGCAAAACGCGTCATAAGCTGCAGCACCAGAGAGCCGCGGTGTTCCTTGCCAATGAAGGCAGCATCACCGTAGCTGGCGAGCTCCTGCTGCGTCTGGCCCATCAAGGTGTTGAGACGAGCCTTGATGTCGGGCAGCCGCTCGCGGATATGCGCCATCAGCGTGGTGTTCAAGGTCCTGGCCAGGAACTCAGTACCGCAGCGGTTCGCCATGTTCCTGTACGCCGGGTGCTGCTTGAAAAAGTCGCGCTCGGCCTGCAGAGCGTCGGAGAGAGATTTGTTCTCCTGAATGTCGTACTGCGAGCGATTGACGACACCAATGAAGCCAAGTTTCAGCGGGTACACGCGACCGGAAAGAATGTCGAGCGCATTGGTTCCGTGGTCCATCAAGTCCAGTTTGGTGAGCACGCCGATGGTGCGGCGACCCATGGGATCCACATGGCGCGCGAGCTTGAGCGCTTCAGAATTCACCAGATCGACATTGGCAGGCGACACTGCAAGGACGATGCTGTTCGGCTTCGCAGTGTACTCGGTGATGAGGTTCCTCGTCTGCTTCTCGATATCCGTCGGCTGGTCTCCGATGGGCACCTGTTCTCCCGGTTAGCCAGTTGCCTCTCGGGGCCTCGGGTGCTACAGACCTTGGTCAGACCGGGCAAATCGACAAGAGTCAGACTCAGCACATGGGGCGAGTAGATCTTGAGATTGATGGGCTGGCGATTGATGCCCTTGTTGTTGCCCGCTATTCTTGCCGTCTCATTCTCGATCTCGCGCCTCACTTCGCCGAAGTCGAAGAACTTTCTCCCCGGAATGTGCAGGAACTCGGCCCATTCGTCCTGGCTTGCGACGCTGGCAGGGGTGTGTGGGATGTGGACCTCGTCGCCCTCGGGCTTGTCGCTGTCGCTGGGGATGTTGATGAGCTGGAGCACGAGCGGGCGACGAGTGACGATGCCGCTGCCACGGGGGAGGAAATCTCTGCCAACAATGTTCTCGAGCACCGATGACTTGCCGGAGGACTGCGAGCCGACTACGACCTGGGCGGGGGTTAGCTGGCGGCGGGCACGCGGGGGAGGGCCGGGCCCGACTCACAATCTGCGGCAAGTCCAGGGAATCATTGCCGATGGTGTTGAAGACCAAGTCCTGGAGCTTGTTGACGATCTTGAGCAGGTCCTCTCCCAAAGACATGGTTGCGGGGAGTGCTGGCCAGCAGCCGGCGGGCGTGGCTAGAAGGATGCCGGGCGCTGGGGGGGTTAGACACGGGCGTCGCGCGGGGAGAGGCGCTCGAGGATGATGGAGATGTTTTTGTTCGGGCGCGGGCGGTCAACACGGCGGACTCGGGGGAGCAGCTGGAGAGGGCGGCGGCGTGCAGGCGTCCGGGGCAGATGACGGGCACGGGTGAAGCGAAAGCGGATGAGGAACGTCCGGGTGACGATTTGCCCAGTTTTGCTGTCTAGCCGTTGCGCCTGGCTCAGACCGCTAGTACGAGAAGATGCCATAGGCTGTGTCGGCAGGTTGCGCGACAGGGCCACCGCGCCGCCCGTAGCGCGCCGGGTACGCAAGCGTTGGCAGTGGCGCCGGCTCCAGGTTGTCCAGGCTGTCCAGGCTGTCCGTCCAGGCTGTCCAGCCCGGCCACCGTGCCACCGCCGCTGCAGCCGGAACCGGTACGGCAGCCCGGACAGCCCGGACAGCGCATTGCGCCCGGACGCGTGCACGCGCCGCCGCCTGCCAGCGCCTTTCTTATCACTTCTCAACACTTGACCATCCCTGCGCCTCCTGCACCGGTCTGTTGTGCGCCGCTCTTGCGCCGCTCTTGCGCCGTTCTTGCGCCGCTCCAGCGCCGCCGCCCAGGGTCTTTATACACCCGCCCCTCTGACCGCGTAGGTAAATTGTGGCCGCCGCCTATCGTGGCCGCCATGTTATTACCCCGTTATCAGCGTCGGCCAGACGCGGCCTCCGCCCTGACCGCTTGCCTTATCTAGCGTGTGCGAGGGCAGGTCCGATATAAAGAAAGGGAAAAAAATGTTGAAGCCTCCTTCTTCTCTACACTCATTTCCCTCTGTGCTCTTCTCTCTCCTATCCTGCACGCAGCTCACGCGGCCAAAGCCCCAAGCGCCCAGCTCAACAGGTGACTTCTCCAGCCTCACTCGCCCTTCACGCGGACCACCAAACACATGGCACCCGGCGCTCTCCAGGTCGTTGAGGACATTGTCTTTTCGGAGCCGGCGCCCGAGCAGCGCTGGTCAGAGCCGGTCGCATTCGGCGGCGATGACCAGTGGCTGTTCGATCCCAAAACGAGGCGCTTTGATCTCAGCAGAGGCTCTCAGAGGAAGCTGGCCATTGACGCCGACGACGGCGTTCGTCACCATCGCGGATGCATTATCGACCCGGCCAACACGGTCCTCGTGGTCATTGACATGCAGAACTTCTTCATCCATCCGCTCTTCCACAAGCATGTGGCTGGACTTGCGGCTGTTGAGCCCACTATCAAGGTGATTGAGCGTTGCAGAAGAGAAGGAATCCAGGTGGCCTGGCTCAACTGGGGCCTTGACGAGCATGATCTTCGCATCATGCCCCCGGCGGTCCAGAGAGGCTTCTGCCACACCATCGCAAAGACTCGCGGCTACGGATGGCACACGCGCCTTGGCGTCGACATGGGCGACGGATACGGCCGCTGTCTGTTCAAGGGAACCTGGAACGCCGAACTCTACGAGCCGCTGAAGGCGGTGGTTGCTGGGGACGATCTCTTCTTCGACAAGAACCGCATGAGCGGCATGTGGTCTCCGGACGAGCCTCTTCACCGGTACCTTCGCGAGAGCGGGAAGAAGACGATCCTTTTCGCGGGGGTGAATACCGACCAGTGTGTGTTCGGAACCGTTTCGGACTCGTACTCTTGGGGCTTCGACTGCATTCTGCTTAGCGACTGCACCGGAACGATGACCGGGCCCGAGGCCCAGATGGTCAGCGACTACAACATTGCCACCAACATGGGATTCGTGACGGACAGCAAGTCGTTCTTGGCTGCCGAGAAGCACTGATTGCAACGCCAGCAGACCGCCTTCCACTTTCCCCATGGCCGATCAGCTGCACGGAGGATGGGATTCCATGAGGATTGTCGCTGTTGAAACACGGTGTTGATGCATGGGACGCTATGCGGGCCCGGCAGGGCTGCCAGCGTCCTGCAATGAGCAGGCTTGTGATACAATTGCAAGGTGATATTGGACGTGCAGGAATTCGGCGCAAGGGCTTCTTCTGCTGCAGTTCTATACGCATAGGACTGATTTTCATACATTTGTCGAGATACCACATTAGATTAGCATATTCAATTCAAGACGCGAGCAAAGAAGTCGAGAGCGTGTGCCTGAAGTGCATGGTTCCTGCCTTTCGCGACGTGCATGCGACACGATGACGCAATTTCGCGGGGAGGGAGTGCTTTACACCCCAACACCTTTGCTGCAACGAACACTCGCACTCAAACAGTAACTCATCAACTCGCCCGACGATTCCCACAATGAGGCTTTCCGCCAATCCCGCGAGCACCAGCTCTTTCGTGAGCCTTCTCCTCGGCTTCGTGCTGCTTCAATGGCTCCTTCTCCGTGTCGGTGCTCTGGTGGCACCGGCTGGACAGCACGTCTTAAACAATGCTGCTGCCGCTCCAAAGAGCATCCTGGGTGTTCGTGCTGAGTATGGCTCCTTGTTTGGGTAGGCTAGTCGTGGGGCGGAGGCTTACAGACCTGAACAGGCTCATCAAAGCGGAAATCATCCCGACCGGTCAGCAGCCTAGTCGTGCGAACCATGGATGCTGTTGCGGCTGACAAGCGCCGGATGCAGTGATTGACGACTTCCTCCCCTCTCTGACGGTCAATATCACCTGGCCGTCGGATGAGACTGCTGACCTGGGCAACACCATCAAACCCAAAAGACTGAAGGCAGCACCTTCGATTTACCTGGACGATGAGCCAACCTCTGCTTCTGCCGTGAACCCCTGCAAGTCGAACATGACTTACGTACTCGCAATGACCGACCCGGATGCTCCATCGCGGGACAACCCGGAGTGGGCCGAGTTCTGCCATTGGATCGTTGCCGGTGTTCCCCTAACTTGGTCTGATGCTCCTTGTGCCGACTCGATTTCTGCTAATGGTCACCAAACCGGGTTGAAGGAGGTCATGGAATACTATCCCCCAGGCCCTCCGCCGAAGACATGGAAGCACAGATATGTCTTCATCGTGTTCGCGCCTTCGAACAGCACGAGCCAACCACTGGACTTGACCAAGCCGAAGGATCGCAAGAACTGGGGTACCGGGAAGGAACGGCATGGTGTCAAGCAGTGGGCCAACGAGAATGGTCTCACTCCTGTGGGTAAGTCTGCCTGCGCTACTTCAGATCAGCCTAGTCCATTGGACTAATGTCCGCAGCTGCCAACTTCGTCTACTCTAAAAACAAGAAACAGTGAGGCCACAGCAAAAGTAGCCACTCTCTGGATCTCCTGGTACCGAGATTCGTGAACGAATCATAGCGATGCGTTTAATAAACCCCTGCCCGTTCTTGTGTACTATCACTCAAAGGTGGGAGATAATGGTACTCTTTCAGCACATCCTTAAGCTTTGTACGCAGACATTGCGGACTATCTAAAAAGTATTGGTTAAATTTGTCTCTTAAAGAAAATCCTTGAATAGAACTCACTCGAGCTGATTCAAAATGAGTGAATCATCTTCATGTTAGCTCGCGCGATCCGCCGGCGTGTTCACGGGCCCGTCGGCCTTCTTCCCTCGATAAAGCTTCTGCGTGTACTCGATTAAAACTAGGTAGCCGGACTTCAACTGGCTTTTTTGATTCAGACTCCGAAGCCATTTCCCCGTCTTATGTTCGGGGTTAAAAACACTCGATGAAGCGGATGACCATCTACCGAAGGACCCTTGCTGGTGACGACACCGCGCCGCACGCGCCCAAAGCTTCCGCGACAGCTGCCCCCGCGCCACAACCCAACACGGACCCAACCGACGCAACACCGCCGCCGCCTATAATGACCACATGGCCTTAGCAGCCTTGCAACACCCCCGCCCGACAGCCCGACCGACCCCATCTCCGTTGCACCGACCGCCGTGAGACAGCCCGTCTCATTCGCATCCGTCACAATATACCAGCATACCCAACACGCCAACAGCCTTTACCGGCGGGTAGGGGGAGGAGTGAGAAAGAAGAAAAGGACCAACCAACAAAGGAGAGAGAGATAAGCGATGCCGCCTCCAAACTCGGACGACGCCCTGCTCGCCCGCCTCAACGCCCTCAAGCAGTCCTCGGTCACGTCCCTCTCCACACACCCTCCCTCCTCCGCCGACGAAATCACGCCTGACGCCCTGCGCGAGCTGGGCTTCGACGACAAGCAGCCGGCAGCGACAACGGCCGTTGGAGGAGGAGGAGGAGAAGAAGACCCGATCCTCGACCTCGCGGCGAGGTTCAAGCGGCTGAACGGTGGGAAGGCGGCGGCTTCCGGTCCTACGGCAACAACGACGACGGGAGGCGGTGAGGCGGCCGAGGCGGCGGAGGAGGAAAAATCGCTAGATGAGTTGCTGAAGGAGTTGGGTGGCGAGGGCGAAGGGTGGGGGGTTTCGCGGGAGGATGAGAGGGATGTAGGTGCGTTGGTGAGGGAGGTGCGAAGCGTGCTGCCGGATGTGCCGACGCCGGAACGGGAAGAAGGAAGTCGGAGAGCCCGTGGCAGCGGTGGGCGGGAGGGCGATGTTGATGTGGGTGGTGACAAGGATGATGATGTGGGTGGTGACAAGGATGATGATGATGAGGAGGAGCAGCAAGAGGCGGATCGAGATGCGTTGGACGAGCAAGAGGCGGATGAGTACATCGCGCAGGTGCTCGCGGAACTGGATCTGGAATCAAAGTACGCGGACGGGAAAGAGGGCGAGGAGGGCGAGGGTGCGGGCGAATCTGCTGCTGCTGCTGCTGCTGCTGCTGCTGCTGAACAAGCGGCGGGTGAGGGCCCACCGACTAAGTCTGCTGCGTCCCCTTCGGAGAAGGCGGAAGAGCGCCAGAGAGATGATGATGATGGCGAACCGTCCTTTTCTCTGCCCGCTGCCCCGACTTCTCTCCCGACACCTCCCCCGCCCGCCCAGGATGACTTTGACAAGGCTACGGCTGTAGATGATGCCTTGACTGCTCGGTTCGCGGCGCTGGCCCGCGGCAGCCCTGGTCCTGGTTCTGGTGGGGCGAGTAGCCTGCCTTCTGCGCCATCGTTTGCACCTTCAAAGAAGCCGCCTATCAAGGCGGCGAAGTTCACAGACGAAGAGATTGATAGCTGGTGTATCATCTGCTATGCGAACGCGACGGTACGCTGCCTGGGGTGTGATGGCGATCTGTACTGTCAAGGATGCTGGAATGAAGGGCACCGGGGCGAAAGCGCTGGGTACGAGGAGAGGACGCATCGGGCGGTGCAGTTTGTAAAAGGCGGAGGTTTGAAAAAGGTACCTGTTGGTGCTGGGTGACGGCGGCTTGAATGAAAAGTCATAAGCTCAAAACGTGAATGTGTACCCTGCTTGTTGATCATGTATCCGGTGATAAGAATAGACACCACGCGAGGTACAGTTGATCTAGCGCCTTGAGCGTAGCCAATCGGCAAGTCGCCAGTTTCAAATGGGACAACATAAGTACCGGATCTCAGTAGCGAGCAGACAGCACATACCATTACTCAAGAATAACTAAGATAGACAGATGACAAAGCCTGTTCCCTTGGTGTCAGCTAGCCATCAGCCCCCCCTCGCACCTCCCTCGTCCAGGTCGTAGTTTTGTCAAGAAGCACGCAGACTGAGCGCCCCGATGCAGATGCTCCCATGAAAGAGAAGGGAGAATGACACGCCCAGGAGCATTTTATTTCTCCATTGGGATGTGCTGGGATCCCGGAGTCAAGGCGGGTGCAGCTCCTGTCAAGATACTAGCGCGAAGTACCAGCTAGCGGATCCATGACGGTATGCCGATCTCAACCGGCCTATGACGCGCTGTAGAGCCGCGCACGACATGTCTACTCGTAGCGCCACGCTATGAAAGAGGTCATATTTGACTCTGATGCTGCGACATGACTTTCCATCTACAACGACATTCACGCAATGTCTTCTCGCTACGACGAGCGTTCCCCGCTTCTCCAGAACGGCCACGGAGAAGATCCTGACCACCGAGAGGTAATACTGGAACCATGTACCTTTTCGCCCCCTTGCTTACATTGCTACAGCAGATTCAGTTCTCGAAAAATGATGCAGAGAACCCTCGATCATGGTCGAGAAGGAGGAAGATGGCCAATGTCGCAGTCATTGCCTCGATGGCCAGTAAGCCCATTGCCCGCCGGAGAGTAGAAGCATCCGCTCACCAACATGTGGCAGTCTTGAGTCCACTCGCAAGCTCCATGTTCACTCCAGGGATGAGCCAAATTGCTGAAGGACTCCACACCTCCACCGACACTGTCGTCGGCGCAACAACCGGCTTCGTCGTCATGCTAGGCGTCGGTCCGCTAATCCTGGCGCCGCTTTCCGAGACCTTTGGGCGTCGGAAGTTGTATCTGTGGTGCTTCACCATCTTCACTCTCCTCCAAATACCCACGGCTTTTAGTCCCAACATCGCTGTCATGATCACCCTCCGCACCTTTGCTGGCTTCTTCGGTAGCATCGGCATCGCCAATGGCGGAGGAACAATCAGCGACATGTTCCACCCAGAAGAGCGGGCAGGCGTGTTTGGGTGGTATCTTCTGGGTCCTTTACTTGGACCCACGCTCGGCCCGCTCATTGGAGGCGTCATTGTCCAGAGACTGGGCTGGAGGTGGCTTTTCATCGTCTTAGCCATTCTTTGCGGAGCCAACACGACGTCCGCCTTCTTCTTCCTCCGAGAAACATATGCACCCGTTCTCCTGAGAGGGAAGAAAGAGGAGATGGAGAAGGAAGCGGGATCCGAAGGCACGAGATACTGGTTCGAAGGAGAAGACAATAGGCCAATGTCCACCAAACTCGGCCACTCCTTCTTGCGCCCTCTGCGCATCCTAACCCACCCTGTGGTCTTGACCATGTCCTTATATCAGGCCTTGATATTCAGCACGACTTACAGCTTGTATACCAACTTTCAGGACATCTACGGCGGAGAGTACGGCTTCAGCACCGAGCAGGTCGGGCTTGTGTACCTTGGCCCTGGGGTTGGCTTCGTGTTTGCGGTCCGGCTCTTGGTTCCCAGGATTGACGACGTCTACAAGAGGCTGAAGGCCCGCAACGGCGATGTGGCGAAGCCAGAGTACAGACTCCCACTTGCAAACATAGGATCTGTACTCCTACCGATTTCGTTGTTCTGGTAAGCAAACACGGCCGCTCATGAGCCATGTCATCTGGAGTCTGACGCACCCTTCAGGTTCGCTTGGACCGTCCAATTGCATACCCACTGGTTCGCCACCGTTGCCAGCACCTTTTTCTACGGCGTAGGCCAAGTCATGATCATCAACTGCACGCAAAACTATTACATCGATGCATTCGAGAAGTATGCCGCCTCTGCCATTGCAGCCGGCGCCGTCTTTCGTTCGGTCATTGGCGGAGTGGTGCCCCTGTTCGCCCCCTTGCTGTTCAAGACCGTGGGCTACGGTTGGGGCATCTCAGTCTTCGCACTCATCAGCCTCCTGCTTGCCCCTGCCCCGCTGTTCTTCTACTGGTTTGGAGAGCGCATCCGAGAGTCGTTCGCAGTCGAGCTTTGATTTGACAAGCTTCCATGTCTTCAGAGCGGGCCGCCCCACAACAGCCCAGCCATTAGGGTTGCGGAAGATAAGCAAACACTATATTGTAAACATCGGTAGAGCTAGATAGGCAGATCGCGCCTTTGGAGGACTAAGTGATCAGCTGTCACACGTATGCGTGCGGAGGATCGCCACTGCGTCAATTGAGTCGATCAACGCACGTTAAAGATTATTGAGGAACGGGAGTAGCTTCTGTCCAAATCGTACATGCATCAGGTGGCCGCTTCTTGCATCGGGTCGAGCTGAGCATTTTCACCTGCCGTGGCGCAGGGACATAGCCTTTTGCCCAAGGTACTTGCCGCCCCGATTGCGCAAGCCCCTCGCTGAGTTATGACCGGAAATCGGTCCAGCTGGGCACGTGTGGTTCCGGAAGAGTTGCTCTCTCATCTCCGGTGATGCCAGACGAATGTGCCGACATCGCAATTGCGCGAGATGGAGACAGGAACGCACGAGAAGTTTCATGCGCGACGTAAGGCAAAAGCTGATCCGTCTTAAAAGGGTATATAGCTTGCTAATCGCGGAACTTTTACGTCCGAACAGAACCTCCTCTTCTGTACCCGAGCCTCGTTTGCTACCTCCCCATGCTGGCTGCTGCGGACGGCTGTCGCTTCGCGGTTGCAGTGACTGGCCCCTGCATGTATACGAACAATCTGCGCAGGACAGAGTTCACAGGTCCGCCCTTCGGCCCACATGCATCCTGCCCGTGCCGTGTTTCCGCCTGTGCCAGCAGAAAATCATGTTTCGTCCTTCGTTGCAGTTTCCAGAGCTCACGAGTTGAGCTTCTTGTTGCGCTTCTCCCTCCGCTTCAGTCTGTCAACGCGTTTGGCGTGCATCTTTTGGGCCATCTGCTCGTATCTCTCGCGCTCTGCCTTCTTCTCGCGCTTCTCCTTGATCGCAGCAATCCGTGTCTACACCCAGAAAGTCAGCCGCATGCGGTAGGGCGCTGGTCTTTACGGCCACCGACCTGTCTCTCGGCCTCCTTCTCGCCCTTCATTTCCTTTTCTTTGGCCTTGACGGCGGCAAGGGCTTTGCGGTCCTCGGAGCGCTTCGCGTACGAGGTGAGGCCAGATCCGGGGCGGAAAGCCTTCTTCGGCTGGTGCCATTGCTTGCCTGCACGGCCGGTCAGCAGGCTGCGGCGCTTTTTGCACGGCGACGGGGGGAGGACGCACCGTTCTTGCGCATGCCGGCGGCGGCAGGCTTGGGCACGCTGGCAGCAGCAGCATCAGCGGCCGCAGGAGCGGCGGCGGAGGTTTCGGCGTCGGAGGACATGATCGGGGATTGGAGGGGGTGGGGTGAGGAGTGCCAAAAGCGTGCCAAAGGCGTGCTGTGGTTTGCTAAGAAAAATGTCGGCGGCCCTCCACTCGATCTGATAAAATTGATGGCGCTAGATAACTCTAAGCGGGCACTAGCCGCGGACAGGCCAGTCAACCGGCTTGGCCGCCCCGCAAGACGCGCGCTGGATGGGCAAATGGAGCCCGCCAGGACCGCCGGGCGTTCCAAAATCTTTTCGCCAGCCCTGGTCTCGTTCCCTGCGACTCCGCCGCCCGCCCCGGCCGCGCAAACCGCATGGCGATGGGTCAGTTTCTCCCATGACTTCACCCACAAAGCGCCGCATGCGCCCGGCGTGCCAGCCCGAGCCCGAGCCTGCCTGAAATTCCCTCACGCCCCAGCGCCATCACCGCGCCCTAAATTCTGCTCCCATCACGCGCTATAAATACTGCACCCGCCCCAAAAGCGGCAGCCGCGGCCGCCCCAGGGATTGCCTCCCGCCTCGTTCTCACGTTTCACATCTATCCTACTATGCTCCCGCGATAGCGATAGCCTCCTCGAAGAATAAGCTTTCTACGCAATTTCTCGCAGTGCGCAATGGCAGCTACTTATTCCGACCGCCCGCTTGGTGGGCCCGACACGGAGCTGGCCCTGCCCGCGCCCAACACCACCCCGGAGTTGACCAAGGAAGCCCTCTCCGGCCAAGGCATGGAGGCCCTGAAGGACATTGCCTGCGGCTCCTTTGCCGGCATTATCGGCAAATACATCGAATATCCTTTTGACACGATCAAGGTGCGCCTGCAGTCGCAGCCGGAGCACCTCCCCCTCCGGTACACCGGCCCGCTGGACTGCTTCCAAAAGTCCTGGGCCAAGGATGGATTCGGGGGCCTGTACAGGGGCATCAGCGCGCCTCTGGTCGGTGCCGCCGTCGAGAACGCCAGCTTGTTCTTCAGCGTGAGTGCCGCCCCTCGCAGCAGCTTGGAGGAGCCACACCCGCTAACCCCCCGCCGCAGTACCGCCTCTGCCAGGAAGCACTCCAGTCCACAATCTACCCGTCCACACAACCATTGCCCTTCGGCGCCCTCCTTCTCTGCGGCGCGGGGTCGGGCGCCTTCGCCTCGTCGCTCCTCACACCCATCGAACTGGTCAAATGCAAGCTGCAGGTCCCCGTCGAGACGGCCAGCGGCCACTTCGCGAAGATGGGCCCGCTCGGGGTGATCGCCTCGGTATACCGGCACCGGGGGATCGCGGGGTTCTGGCACGGGCAGCTGGGCACGCTGATCCGCGAGACGGGCGGGTCGGCGGCGTGGTTCGGCGGGTACGAGGGCATGGGGCTCGTCTTCCGGCGCGCGCGCGAGAGGCGCGCGGGCAAGAAGAGCGACGCGCCGCTACCCATCCACCAGCAGATGGCGTGCGGCGCCACGGCCGGCGTCAGCTACAACTTCCTCTTCTACCCCGCCGACACCATCAAGAGCCGTATGCAGACCGAGGACGTCAGCCGCGTCGTCGCCGCCGGCAGGGGCTCCTCGTTCTGGTCCGTCGGCAAGCTGATCTGGCATCAGCACGGCCTGCGCGGCCTGTACAGAGGGTGCGGCATCACCGTCGCCAGGTCCGTGCCCAGCTCCGCCTTCATTTTCACCATCTATGAGACTTTGAGGGCGCATTTTAGTTGAAAGCGTGACTCGTCTTGTCGTGGTTCACATTCCATGGTGTTATGGCGTTCAGGAGCGGGGGAAAATAAAAGCAACGCAGCGGCCTTTCATTCAAAGAAAAAAAAAACGGGGGAAGGATAGATAGAAGGACTCTTTCGAGCGTGGATACCATTTTCTACTACACATAGATGACGTCGGAATTTCATTTGTTCAATTGCCAGAGAGCCTTTGCTGTCACAGTGAACTTGATTGTAGAGTACCCACGATGGGGTCCATCAGCTGGACAATGGCGACGCCTGCTTGATGGCGCAAGCGCCGCGCCGACTGTTGCAATATCGCTCAGCGCTCCGCTTGGGACGTAACTACCGCGTCAGCTAGCACAGCTACAAGCTACTTTGACCGGTCAATTTTTGTCGCAATGCCTAGGCGCCTAGGCCCGTCAGAACAAACGCCAACGACTGACTCGTTATGGGGTTCAATGCAGCCCTATTTTTTTTTTTTCCAAAAAAAAAAGGCAAGTGATGACAAAGAAAGCGAGCACGCACAAAGACCTGGCGCAATAGTCAAGATACGAAAACGCATGGTGGTGGGAGCGGACCGCTCGCCTTTGTCGCCGCTCCTGCAGCTTGTTGGCCGGAGGGCGACGAGGGGTAAATTTGTTTCCCTTTTCGGACGAAGGTTCACCAGCCACAATCACATGTAGTTTTGGTTTTCTTCTGGAAAGGAACTGTGGCTGGAATCGGAGGGAGACGAATCGATAGGGCGTGGGCCGGGCGCAGGTAGTGCGGCAGGCGTGCATGAGCCGAGGATGCGGGCATGTGCGCGACCGACCGACATCATAGCCGGGGCCAGCGCCAGCCAGCGACGACCGCCCGCGCGCCGTGCCGGCTGTTTGCGAATAGCGGTTGGTACCTAGCGTTGCGAGCTGTTCGGTCTGATGCCCTCCCAGGACATGCCCTGGGCTTGAGTCTTTTCTACCAAGCTGTTCTCTCTGTCTCTGTCTCTGTCTCGACTCTGGCCGCAGAGCGCCCATACCATCCCCGATCTCGCGACGAAGCTCCCGAGCTCACGACGACGACGACGACGACGACAGCTTGCGAACTTGCGACACTCGAGAGAGCTTCATAGACACTTCGTTCGACGACTCGCCGCTTGCTGTGCTACACGGCGTCCGGGAAAGAGCCATCGACATAATGGATAGGGCAATGGAGCTTGTGAAGAGCATGGAGGTCAGTAATGGTGGATTCCCTTGCGGGGAGAAGCTGTTTCACTGCGCCGCCGCCTAGCCGTCGTCTTGCGCGGACTGCGGCCAGCAAAGTAGTCGGCGGCGCATACGCATCGATGGCTGACTGGAACTTGCGGCGTGCTGCAGGCCTCGGCGGAGCGCATCGCGCTCGACCCGAAATACCACGACGCCCTCACGTTGGTCAAGGGCATACGGAACGGCATCGTCTACGGGTCCAAAGTGCGGTTTCCGCACGCCCTGGTGTAAGGCTCGCCTCTTAATATGCGCCTTTGATTGAGAAATGGTAGAGAAGCTGACCGCAATTAGGATGATATTCCTCTTCCGCTCTGGCGAGTACGTATCCCCTGCCCTTCACCAGCGTCTCCATCTACACATGTTATTCAGAGGACATGATCAAAGAAGAAACAAGAAGAAAATGGAAGGGGGGAAACGGAAAGAGCGGAGCTAATGAAGATGCCTCTCCACCGCAGCCTCCGCACGAAAGCCAAGCTCGTCTTCAAAGCCACGCGGCAGCACGCGCGCAACCTTGGCATGTTCGCGCTGGTCTACAAGACGGGGATGCTGCTGCTGCGGCGCATGTCGCCGACGGGCAAGGAGCAGCACTACGACGCCTTCCTGGCCGGGCTGGCGGGCGGTTACGCCGTCTTCGGCCGCACCATCAACAGCTCCGTCAGCCAGCAGATCGTCATCTATGTCTTCGCCCGCGTCGTGCTCGCCTACGCGAAGCTGATGGTCCAGCCCAAGGCCGGCGACCACCACCACAAGACGGGAGCTCACCACGGTCACAACCACGGCCACAACCACGGACATGGACATCATGGGCGGAGTGGTGGTGGTTGGGAGATCATCAGCGATCCCGTGCTGGCAGCCAAGGTCAGGGACAACGGGTGGACCGTCTTCGCCAGCGTCAGTTGGGCCCTGGTCATGTACCTGTTCAGGTGGCATCCAGAGACGCTGCAGTCGAGTCTGCGGAGCAGCATGCACTACATGTGGGTGTTCCTTGTTCCCCTCCATTGGCGAAAGTTCCCTTCACGCCGCGCAGTTTGGCCGTCAGCTTCTTGGTCTGCCGCTAATTATCGATCTACAGTTACGAGCAATCGGACCACTGGGACTCGTTGCGGACGCTCATCTGGCATAACAAATAAGATCTCGGAACGTGTTGGACGACGAAGGGACGGTTCGGAGACGGAATGGAGGGTACTCTCTTTGGGGTTGCATGGGTCAATGGCGTCCTGGCGCAACTATTTAACTGGACGGATCAGCTATACTTGGCTATGTCCCGGGTGGGAAAGGGGAACACATGGCATTCATGCTTCGAGGCCGGCTCCCTCGCCTTTCTGATGGTTCTATATGGCTTGACTCCGTGTAGAAATATTCGCGCACCGGTTGTAATATGTTTTTTTTTTCTCGAGAGAGAAGTGCTTGGAAACGGTGGATTGGTGATTGCCCCGACCCGTCATGACAACCCATTCGGCAGATAAGCGATAACGCCGTGAACCACAAGACCGGTGACGTCGACGTCAACCCTGCCGTCCCCAGGTACTCATCACGATACCCGAGCACCCTGCAGCTCGCGTTCCCGCGTTCCAGATGCCGTCAACGGGATAAGGATCGCAATTGCCACCGGTCAGTCCGATGCGGCAAGTACCAGCCTTGTTGCCAGCGCATCTGTGACTGTACTGTGTGTATACGTCTAGATCTGCTCTCACGAAATGGCGGACCGGCCACACGGTCGGCTATCTGGACTCGGGCGTGTTTCAAGACCGGGGCGCGCGGTGCCGCAGTGCCGAACCGTATACCAAGAACGGCAGGTGAGGCAGATATGGGTGCGGCACTTATGAGGTGTTGCATGGCTGCCTGCGACGAAGCTCCACGGGCGTGGGGTGTGAGCAAAGAGAGGGAGGCTTAGATGGGCACAAGACCGCAACACAGAGCAGCAGAGCGTTTGTGTGTTCGTACCGCCGACAGGGTTCGCGATCCTTCTCGCCGCATATGTACCCCGGGGGCCGTTCGTCTCCATGGCGAGTGGCAATGTTCTCCTGCGGCCAAGAAACGCATTTCGTGCATCCGAACGATTCGAGCAACCTGCAGGGCAACCAATTGCACCAAGTGGCAAGAGCCGCAAGTGCGTGATTTTCACGCAAACACGTACCTTGGACAACGGCTATTGTTGGCCAGTCTCATGGATCTGAATGAAAAGTGCCAAGTGCTGGACCGCTCTCCCCGGCGGTGGCACTTGGAGTAAGCCCCAGGCCAGTGGAACTCGCCATTGCCGGTGACACAAGAGGGAAAGGATGTGCTCGCCGCAAGAAAAGCATTGCCTCCCGTGTGTAGGTGAGTCAATCCGGTCGACCGGATGGAGCTCCAAAGAAACAGGGCCAGCAATGGCGAGTGCGAAGGTTTTGAAGGAGCAGCTCCAGGACGGTTACAGACGGCTAGATGCTCGAGCTACTCTTGACTCCACCCGTGTCCGTCCGACTTTGTCCTCTGTGCTCGGGCTCGCCGTGCTCCAACAATGACAGCAATGCCGGGGCGGCGAGGAGAGAGGCGAGCAAAGGGATAATGTCGAACACCAATCGCTCGGCCGAACGATGATCGGTACAGCAAATCCGCATGGCCGGGATTGTATCTTTATCCAGAGCATTCGGTACCGCCGCCTCGCGTGGAAGCGGGGGACAGGGGGCGCTAATCTGTGCGCTAGCCCACCAAGGCTGACCTGACCCTCTGACTCTGCGCGATGATGCGGCACCGAGAGATAGGAATCTGCCCTGGCGGCTTCTAGAAACAAGGATCTCGCCGCCGGCCACCTGCGGATCGCTGCTTTGGGGGGCGGTCCTGCCAACCCGAACCCGCCGTTGCTCTCACTGCCTCGCAACCTGACGTCGGTAGTCCGCGCCGATGTTATGTCACAGCGCAGGTGACCTCTTACGGCACCGGCTGCCGTGGCACGACTGCACGCGGTGCCGCCTACAGACTCGACACCTTAAGAATTCGGGTGCTGCTGTTCTCGATTGCCCCTTCTTTCTGAAAACACATCAGTTGCTTCCACCTGAATCCCGACATAGCTTCCGCCCGAGACAACAGCTCTTTCTCCTTCATTGTTGCAAGCTGCAGTACGCACAGCCGTCGAGCCCGCCGTCCTGTCTGCTGTCGGCCGTCCATTGGATGCGATTGCGCAAGTTCCCTCCCTTGCCCAGGCAAATGCCCCTCCTGCATCACAAGCTTCGGCCGCCCTAGACCTCGCCGTGGCTAGTCCCAACAACTCGATCGTACGCATCTCTTGATCTTGATATTCTTTTGGTGACCGTGACGTGCTCATCAGCATGTCCACAGAGATCATCTACTCCACGGAGACAACAGACGCTTTGAGCGATTCCAAGTCCGGAGAGAAGCGGCATACCAGGAAGGAGTGGTTTGACCAAGGACGCCAATTTCTCGCCAAGTCGACTAGATCTGTACCAACAACGACCGACGCCATGCCACCACGTCCGGACAGGGTGTCGCGAACGAGAGCAGAGACTATGTCGGCTGCCTCGCGCACACCATCAGATTGTGCAATGGGGGCTTGCGGCTGCCAATGCAACTGTGCAGGGTGCCCCTGCAACGACAGAAGCAGCTGTGACAGTAGTACAGTCGACATTGAGCTCGATTTCATTTTGCTTGGAACAAGAAGCTCAGAGCAGTCATTCTCACAGGGAGAAGGAGACGGCGAGTGCCCCCCGGCCTTCGCTTGGCGGGACCCCGGCTTCGGCGAGCACGTCGACAATCGTTTTGGCGGCTTCGACATGACCAAGGACGGGTTTCAGCATTCCGAGAGCGACGAGTGCGAGCCACTGCAGCGGTCAATGATTTTGAGGGACCTGGGCACGTTCAATCGGTCCGCAACTTCGACATCGCTGGCCAACGAAGCCACAAGTGGAGTAGCTAGCGTGGCAAGCTCCGGTTTCCTTCCGCGAAGGGCAGACGTGGCGCAGAATTTGCTGGATTTTGTCGGCTCGTGGGACGAGACATCTCCCGGCCCCGGATACCATTTCGTCGGTCAGCCGCTGTGGCTCAGTCCGTCAGCGTGGTCCGCGAGACACGACTCAGGCCATGTTGGCTATCCGGCTGGGATTCGCGACGAGGATATGAAATAGTTGTGCGAATGGACTGGTGTGTGTCAACGGCCGTTTTGTTTCTTTCCAATGACAGCTGGCGGCGCACTGGAAGAGCGGGTTTTTTCTTGGTGTATGGATGGCGCGCGGTGGCTTTGGCGGGTTGTTGTATGTGGGCAGACTCGGGTCGGCTGGCCGAAAGGGTCCTTAGCGATCTGTCCTTATTCTCAAATGGTCCCGTTATCGCCCCTGTTTCGACCGTTTATCTGGCGCGTGGCAGCTGATTGGAGGACGGGGAGTCGGTGGCGTTTTTGTTTTACTGGATTCTGGGCGGATTCTTAGAAGCACTATCAGACGTCAATTTCCACCTGAGATGCGGTACCTCGAGCGAATTTGCCCGTTTTCGTCAGCGGTTGGCCCCGACTCGTGTGTTTCACGACGCAGGGCGTTTATGAAGGGGCCCACGACGGCGGCCTGCATGCGTCTGTTGAGTGCTGCAGATAAAACGTTGACGCTGACACGGCTCGCACAGGCATGCGCGCCGCCTCCCGGCTCGGCGGGCAGGAGCATCTGCGCTACGCGGGGCGCTGAGTCTTATCAGACGATCTGCGCATCCGTGGGGCGCGGGCCTAGCGCGGTCCGGGGACAGGCAGGACAGGCAGGACCTGCAGTCGAGACTCGAGCTGTATGCGTCCTGACCGGTGTGCGATTGGCCGCGCGCCAAACCCGCCAGCACCTCCAGCGCCCGAGTCATCGCTGTGGTGTGAGAAAGGCACGATGCCTGCAGAAGGCCAGCGGCGCGGCGGGCGCGGCGGGCGCGGTGCCGACGGCCGAGGCTTGCGGTGAGAACGGCGCCTTGGAGCCACGAGCAGCAGCACGCAGCGCCCGCAGCAGCACGCAGCGCCCGCAGCAGCACGCCAATCGGACACGGCACGCCATCCGCCCATGCATGGTGCAGCCTGGGCTGGTGCATGCCCGAAAGAAGCCGGCCGCGACGCCTCCACCGAGTCCACGCACACCGCATCTCGTCCCAGCGACGCTGCGGCTGCGACTGCAGCTGGGGCTATCGTGCCCTGGCCGCAGCGCGATGCCGGGGCCTATCTGCGTGGGGCCCGCCGCCGGCTTAGCTTGTTCTCGACCATTCCAGCCCCAACCGCGCTGCTTGCGAGTGCTTGCGAGCACTCGCCGACGAGGTGCTTTTTAGGTGCTGGCCTGTCCCTGTCGTGCCGTCTGCTTCGCGCTGACTACGGACTACTGCTACTGACAAGCCCGTGTCAGCCGCGAGGCGCTCGACCCCTCCGCCCGCCCTCCGCATCGCCGCCACCGCCGCCCCTCTCACCGGCCGTTCCAGCGCCTTGTCTGGCACGCTTCGACCCGGCCGCGACGTCGTACCAAGCACCAGCACTCCGCCCCGCCCGAACTTTGCTCAGGCGCCTGTCTGGGGGAGCGGACGGAGAATAGTGGAGCCAGCCTCCTGACCGTATATTTTTGGCTGCTGCACGGCCGCCGCAATACGGAGCGCTCAACTCTCCTGCCTTTTGACTCGCACTGCTCCAACCTGCCACTCCGTCTTGCCTGCCATCTTCGCGTCGTCCGCCCCCGGGTGTAGAGCTTGGCGCGCTGCCTGTCTAGCCAGATCCTGCTTCTCCGCCATTGGCCGCCGTCACTGGATCCTTGACCCGCCCAATCGCAGCTCCACATTTCTCGACGTCACTGTCGCCGACGTACCACTTCGACATTTTAGACGCAAGACTGGCGCAAGCCCTTTGCAACCCCACGCCCATCCCAACTCCCTGACTCCTCTGTCCTCGCCTGCCAGACCATCTCCCGACGGTTCTGCTCCCAAGGTGCGTGCAAGAAGGTCCGCCCCGTGCCTCTCCTGCCACTCCTGACCCCCTTACCGTGTCGCGATTTCTCGACTCGGGCGTGCTGACCCGGCTCGCCAGACCAATCCAGCCATCTCTGGGTATATCTTGGCCCCGCCTCTGTGTGCGCATCGGCTGCCACGGGTCAATTAGAACTGGGTAGCGCGCCCCGCCGCTCTCGACGCGTCTGCACCCCGAACGACCGCTAGATCGTTGGCCAATTGGAACGCACGCAGGGGAGCACAGTATTCCGATTCCCTCGTGGCTGCAGCTGCTTGTGCACGCGACAGTCCGTGAGCGGCGTTCCGATTCTTTCCGACCATCCCTCCGCCTCGCCGTCGCTTGAGCGCCAATCGTCGCGCTCCTCCGCCAATATAGCTTGGGACATGCACTGGTGGATTGGAGTAAAAGGCGTTGTATGACGAACCTGCTATTCGTATAATCCATCTGCTGGCTGGGATATAGCCTTCCTCGGGTCTCTGTCCCCGTAGAAGCGGCCACGAGCTGCACATCATCTTTTTCCTGTCTCTCAGGACATCTCGCCAACATCTTCGTCATGTCGTCCTCTCCTCCACCGAAGCGGCGTTTTGTGCCGGAGCCTGTGGAAACCACAACAAAGTCTTCTCGAAGATTTGTGCCGGAGCCCGTGGAAACAACAACCAAGTCGTCAAGACGATTTGCGCCGGAGCCTGTGGAAACCACTGTCAAGTCGTCGCGTAAATTTGCACCGGAGCCTGTGGAGACAACAACAAAGTCCTCTCGCAAATTTGCCGCTGAGCCGATTGAGACCACGACCAAAAGTTCACGGAGATTTGCACCGGAGCCGGTTGAAACGACTGCTAGAAGCAGCAAAGATAGGCTGCCACCTGCGGATGAAGCCGCACCGCGGAGGCGGTTCGCTCCGCAGCCCGTCGAAACGACAGTGAGAAGTCACCGGGCCGGAGCTGAAAATGGCGTAAACGGCGCTGATGTGCGGAGCTCTGACACGAGCTCCTCCGAGAGCCAGGCTTCTCCGCAGATCGACGGCCCCCCGCAATCAGCAACGAAGCCTCGACGCAAGTTTGCGCCGCAGCTCATTGAGACGGCCAAGCGCACCAGGAAAGCAGGGGATGTTGGCCCTGTAGTGAATGAGGGAGATAGAACCGAAGCGACCCCTGGTAACGGCGCGCGCAGCCCGGGCAAGCGACAGCGCGTTCTGCGCGCGCCGGTCCCACCTTCAAACACCCCCTTGCCTACACCAAGCAGCCCCCTCTCACAAATGCCCACCCTTCGCGATGCCCGCCGTCTTGGAATACCTACCCGCAGCGACTCTATAAGCAGCAACCGTTCGCACTCCTTCAGGATTCCTGACTTGGACACCATAGAGTCTTCGGAGTCTGAAGAGGAAGGGACGCCATCCTTGTCTACTACGCCATCTGCTGAATCGGACTCGGAGCAGTCATATCTGTATTATCATGCCACACGGCGCAGAGAGAGTGTAGACGAGCGATTCTCTGGCTATCTACTGGAAATTGCCGCCAAGGCAGCGGAGAAGCAGATGAGAGAAGCGGCGATGGCAGCCTTCCCCAACGACGAGCACCACGAGCCCGTTTCCCATTTCCTTGGCGAGGAGGAAGACGAATCGGCGGTTGAAACCATGGAAGATGTGAACGAGAGCCGCCGGGAGTCGTTCACAAAGGTGAACTGGGAGCTCGTAGCCATGCAGAAGCATGTGGAGGAGAAAGACAGTGGACAAGGTGAAGACCAGGGCGAGAAGGTGAAGAAAGCAGCCGAGCCCACAAAGAAGAACATTTGGGGCGAGCCTCAATGGGGAGCGAAGCCAACTAAGGGCACAGCGGGAAACACTGCGGCGAAGGGTGCATGGGCAAATCCGTTTGAAAGCCAACGCGGTCGTCCGGATGAACAAGAGATGAGGGGGATGCAGCGAGGGGCAAGGCCACCGATGCTTGGTGGCGATATTGTTTTCCCACGCTGCCCTTCACCGGAGCCCGCAAGGTTCGACGTTACGCAAGGTTCTGAGGCGCTCAAGAATTCAATGTGCTACCTAACGGAGCAGAGCATGCCTAATGAGCCTCAGGGATTGTGGTGGCATGAGAGGAAGAAAGAAGAACAGAAGCAGCAGGAGGAGCACAAACAGAAAGAAGAGCATAAACTCGACGCTCCGAAGCCGACTGGATTGTCTGCCAAGGAGGGCCGCCGATCAAAGCCACCGACGCTACTGTGGTCAAACCAAGGGAGTCGCTCTTCCAGCCCGATCGGTTTGTGGAACGGATGCTGCCTTGGGCCCGGCTCGAGGGAGAGCACCAAGCAGGCGGGCATGCTTACACCAGCGATCGAAGTGGACAATCCCTTTGACAGCCCGCCGCCAACTCCTGCAAGAGCGCCGCCATCTCCGCCGCCGTCTAATCCTGACATGGCAAGCATCGACGACAAGCTCGCTGCACAAAAGGCACTTGAAGACGAATTTGACGACGCCTTTATTACGCAGGTGTACAACTACCTGTCTCTCGGGTATCCTTCGTTGGCGCGAAAGTTCGATGATGAACTGAGCAAGATCAGCCGCATCCCGGTCGAAGAACTGCGGCAGGACGATGAACTCGCCCAGGCGAGAGGATACATTCGGCTCGGCGAGGACAACAACGCCAGAGATGCAGGTATCACCGAAGACACTTGTATGCGCTGGCGGGCGTTGAGGACGTACATTTTCGAGTGGGCGAAGCAGCAGCCACGCTTCCTTCATGCGGGCTATGCGCTCGGTGGGTTTGGCGTTGGGGCCCGGCGCGGCAGTTGGGCATGGTAAGGCGGTTGGACAGACGTGTACACACTTCCGATGGGGTTTCCCGGCATAGAGGACCCTCGGAGCGTTTGGCTTCTTCCATGGATTCCGGGCATTTAGTTGGCGTTGGTTTGTTTTGTTCTGCTGCTTCTGGGAATCGAGCACGGCGTTGGAAAGTTCAGTGCGAGTCTGCGTATGCGCGGAGCGGGACCAAGAGAGGGTTTGTTTGTAGCTGTTTTGAGCGAGCTTCGAAATTGACGCGGGAGGATGTTCAAAGCTGAGTTGCATCATCGGCGTGCGAAACCCCCGCTGTGCCGCTGTGTCGTGCCCGCCGCAGACCCAGACTGTCGGGTCGGCCCAAATCTCGGCGGGCGCACGGGCCGCGTGTTTCGTTTGCCCAGCGCCATGAGCTCCTGCCCGCCGCCGACCGAACCCTCCACCTTTCTCTCCTCACCCACTCCCCCTTGCGACGCGTCCTGCTTGCGGCGCCTTTTCCGTCACCATGCAGCTGTCGGCCGCCGATATGAAGCTCTTGAAGAGCACCAAATTCCCCCCCGAATTCGAGGAGAAGGTCGACACGACAAAGGTCCAGATGGACATCATGAAGAAGTGAGCTCCCCTCCGTTGCCCCGTCAAGACCCTGCTAATCGTGACAAGATGGATTGCCACCAAGCTCCAACAGATCCTCGAGACCGAAGACGACATGGTCGTCGACTTTATCTACAATCTGCTCGACGGAGAGCGCCACGTACGTTGCCTCGACCAATATTGCTCCTTCGACCTGCCCCGCTGACGTCGCCCCCCCAGCCCGACCCGAAGAAGCTTCAGGTTGCCCTCGGCGGGTTCCTGCATGACGATGCACCGCGTTTCGTCAGGGAGTTCTGGAACCTTTGCCTCAGCGCCCAAAGCAACAAGGATACACTTGGTGTTCCCCGTGAACTCCTGGAGATGAAGAAGGATGAGATGAAGCAAGACAAGGTAAACCCTGCCTCGTTCGTTGCACACGAGCTTGGTTAACGCTTTGGCTTGCAGAAAGCACAGGAGAAGGCGGCCGAGGAGGCCCGCAAACGCCGCGACAACGAGCGTGAACGCGATGAAGATCTCGACCGCATCCGCGAGAGGGAACGCCGTGAACGCGACCACACCAGGGACCGCCCCCGTGGTAGAGGTCGCGGTGGCGGCCGCGGAGGCTCCGCGTTCTCATACCGTCCCGGACGCTCGCGCTCGCGCTCGCCACCGCCCTTCCGCCGCGGCCACGATGAGTACCGCCGACCTCCTCGTACGGATTCATACGTTCCCGCCGGCCGGGGCAGGCGCAGGGACTATTCACCTCGTCCCTCGGTCTCACGCAGCCGCTCTCGCTCTCGCTCTGAAACGCCTCCGCGCCGTCGCCGCCGACCCTCGTACAGCCGCTCGCCGTCGCGCTCTGTCAGCCCTCCCCGCCGTAGCCACGGCAGTCGTCGCTACAGCAGAGACAAGTCCCGCTCACGCAGCCCTGTTGCAAGATCGAGGCGGGCCAGGAGCCCCGCCCGTGGTGATGATCGAGCCCGACCTTCCGCGTCGCCCGAGACATCTCGCTCACGCTCGCCTAGACGCCGCCGCGGCAGAGACCGGTCGCCTTCGGCTGCATCTAACAGCCGCTCACCTCCTCCACGCTCACGCAGGGACCGCTCCCGGCGCCGCCACACTCGTTCACCGTCTACATCCCGCTCGCGCAGCCCTCGTCGCCCTGATCGCAAACACAAGAGATCTCCCTCCTCCTCTGACGACGACAGAGACAAGCGCGCTGATGTTCGCAAGGATCGTGATCGTCGTGACCGCCGCCGTAGGCGTAGTCTTAGCAGAAGCCAGAGCCCCCGTAGGGACAACAAGCGTCGTCGCTCCCCTGACAGGTATGAGCCGGAGAAGAGGCGTAGGAATACGTCATCTCCCGAGCCATCTCCTCCTCCGCGGGCGGACCGCAGGCCTTCGATAGCCTCCGACGCATCTATGCGTGATGTGACGGAGAACAAGGTTGGTGAATAACTTTACGGCTCAAGAGAAGATGCCACTTCAAGAGAAGATACCACTTCACCATCCACGAAGTGCTTTTCGTTCATATCAACTTCGCCTCGTGTCAATTAGACAATCAACAGAAGCCGATGCTCTTCTACGTCTCCATCGCAGCTCTTGAGTCTATGAAAAACTTGACTGGAGAATAGGCTCTATGCATTCTGCGGTTCAACAGAGGTTGCTCGGTTTGCGTTATCAGCCATTTATGCGCAGGCGCCACCATAACTAGTTGGGTCTGATTATACAAAAGTCTGCCTAGCTACTTTCACCTTCAACTCCGACAGAGGTCCCTTTCCTGACTGCACTGTTTTAATTGCGATTTCTCCTCAGAGCCACTTGTACAAATAAATAAAAATGCAGTTTAGCAACTAGCAATCCTCACTCAAAATGGCATGGCTGGCATGTCCTTCGTACTTGACTTGAATCTTCATGCTCTCAAGCACAGCGCGCTTGCAGTCCTTTCGGCGGATGTCCAGTCCCCGGAAGGCGCCGTGAGTGCTTTCCCACTCGTAGGGCGCGATGGCTTTCCACATGGCGTGGATTTCAGGCGGGGAGAGGGGGATCATGTTCGGAATGGACCACATGAAGGAATAAGACGTCGTGCCGGGAGGTCGATCATGGTGGTATAGCCCTGACTGGGGAAGGTTTTAGCATCGAATCGATGGGAACAACAAGATGTCTTCATCTGCCATGGTCGCTGGGGGTGATGTATGTATGTACAGCTTCCCCCCGATAAAAATGGAGAGGAGAGAGAGGGAGAGAGGGAGATGAGAGATGAGAGATGAGACACCCACTCACCGGCACAGTGACAAAGGTGTCGGCAACCATCAGGCGCCTCTTCCAGAGCAGGACCAGGCTCCCCGGGAAGTGGCCGCCCGTCTTGACGGCGGTCACGGCGCCGGGCAGGATGTCCTCGGCCGTCTGCGAGAGGAGGCGGCGGACGGGGAAGGACGGGGCCGAGGCCGAGGCCGAGGGCGCGAAGTCGGCGCGGCTGAACCACGACTCGTCCTCGACGGACGTGTACACGGGCACGTTGTTGAAGGCGCGCGCCCACTCGAGGTGCGTCGTGTAGTAGTGCGGGTGCGAGATGACGATTGCGCGGAGAGGGCCGTGCGAGTTTATCTTGAGGATTTGCGGCAGGGGGGAGGCTTTTGTGTGAGTGGCGGGGGATCATTGGAGCTTAATGCAAGTGTGGAAAGGGGAGGGGGGTGGTGAAGGAGAAAGGAAAAGGAAAAGGAAAGCAAAAAAAAAAAAAAAAAGAGGGCTTACGAAGTCGATGGTTTTGGAGTCAAGGTAAGTGATGAGGTCCCATAGCACATTGCCTTCGGGCGTCTTGATCAGGATTGCGCGTTGGCCGATGGCGAACTGGGCGTGGTAGCCGGTTGTATTTAGCATCCACGACACTTTGTCTGGGAAGCTGGGGCGCTTTAACTGTACGTACTTTCGGCTCCGTCCATATCGACCACATGTCCTTCTCCTCGGCGTCTTGCTCCCATTTGTTCTCGTACTTTCCGCGCCGCAGCTCGGCCATGCTCGTCCATTGCTGGCCTGTGGGCGGGACGAATTGGCGTGGGTCCTGTGGAACGGGGTGTGAGCATATCGCGGGAGGAGATCGGCAATGAGTGAGTGCCGTCGACGTACGTCACATATTCTGCAATTGGGGAGCGGCTTGGAAGCAGGCACGTCGAACTGCGTGCCGCACGTGTGGCAGATCAGGAGATCTTCTGCATCCGTCATGGTAGATGGTGACACCGTAGTTGGTTCGCGAGAGCTGCTCGCCCCAGCAGTACGAGCTACTTATGATAGGTAGCGAGTGGCTGCGGGGCTCCGTCCGGATCGGCAAAGGTGGGGTCGGAGGGACAAGAATGAGATCACCGGATTCCCACCTATGCGAAAGTGGGTTGTACATACCGACGCTGTTCGTGGCGCTGGACAACAAACGGGGAGCGATATAATACTAGGTGGCTCATGCGGAACGGAAGAGCCAGTCCTGAAAAGTGTATAGCCGCTGATTGACGCTCACAGCAGCACATGCACGCTTAGTGCGGGGATTGCAGTCAAGCCAGCATGGACTCTATTATAAAGCAAAGGATGTATACAAATGCCGCTCTTCCAGTTTATTCAACTATCCTCATGTCGTCCAGCCAACCCCTTATTGTTTTCTCTCTCCATGCGCTTCTATGAGCACTTGCTTCGTGCGCACGAACCAGGTGCGTGCAAAAAAAACAATAAACAGAATGCAACACAGCACAACTCAAGAGCGCTGCTGTGTTGAACGTAGGCGCTTCGTTCGTTTCCCCCCCATCACCCGGGAAATGGTCTTGTATCCTCCGCCGCTCAAGGCGTGAATGCTATGCTGTGGATGAGGAACGAGTGACAAAATCAGGTGCTCAGTCCGAACATGATATGATGATTGGTGGTGTGTAGCTGATAGGGCCGTTTCCGCCGTCTCTTCGTCAATTAAAATGGCTCTATCCAAATCCTTTAGGTTTTCAACTCCAAGAAAAGTAAGTAAAGTTGGTCTATGAGGTAACAAGTATGTGGTGCGTAAGTTGCCAAGGAGCTCGGATCGCTGGTTGAGTAACGGGTGCACGAGCGATCGTCTCCCGCCGAGAGTCGAGAGCCGGGGGAATGCGCGAAAACGAGTCACGTAAGTCGTGACGACGATATTTGTACAGTTGCGCGTGGTCGAAGGAGCTTGTTGCCTTAATCGCTCTTTCTCCCAGTGCCGCCGTTGGCCATGGAACGAGTGACGCGCCTCTCTGGCTCAGCGCCGACGGAGGCCGTCTTGCCGCCAACGTTCTCCTTCTTGGGCGCGATTGTCAGGCAATTGATACCAAGGAAGTTGCAAATGCTGGTCACGACCAGGACGGCCCAGTTGGTGTAGACGACGGCGGCAAAGATAAAGTAGCTTCTCAGATACCAGAGCTCCACTTGCGCAGTAACAGGTGCCCATGCCAAGCCCAGGCGCGGGAGATTGACAAGAATCGCACCGCCAATGAGCGGAACAAGCATGACGGTCCAGTAAGGGAAGGGCTGGCGGGTGAGATGCGCGAGAATGATTTTCGTCGTCATACGGCCAAAGACGAGGCTCATAGTCAGGCACCACAAGACAAGGTGGCCGCCAGTCTTTTCTTTGGCGTCCCAATCTTCCAAGATGCTCGAGTACGGGCTTCCTAGCCATGCGCAGGTCGCGGCGGTAAAGACAATCATAGGCGTCCACTCCTGGAAAACGGGGAGTACTGGCTTTCCATCGGCGCGGCGTGCGCGGGCAACGTTGACCACACAAGCAGGCAGATGCGCGATGAGGAAAGACCCTAGGAGGATGGGGACCCAGAAATCACGGAACGTCGTCATGGGGGAGATGTACCCTTCCAGCGAGGGAAAATGGCGGACCAGGGAAGTGGACCAAATCTCAGGTCCATAATGCGCCGACATGATCATCATGGCGCAGGCGATAATAAGGCCCTCTGAAAGGTTGTCAGTCCTGAATCGTGGACACCCATGGAGCACTAGAGCCTCCGGAGCGCAAGCGGTCTTACCTGTCGGGCCATTGAAATAGCCAAGGTACAGTGTGTGGGTGTGGTATGTTTCCCAGGTCGAGAAGAACATGGGGAGGCACGGAATCAGGGCGGTAAAGGCGCCGGTCTTGGTGGCTCCGTAGCCCATGGCTGCCGTCTCGAGCAGACTGCCAAGGGTGCAGTTGAGGGAATCAATGCCGTGGCTGCGACCAAAAGTTAGAGGGCGACACATTCGGCGGTTTGACGCGAGTGAGGACATACTCGAACAGCTCTCCCAACCCGCTCGAAGTTCCGGTGCGCCGGGCCTGCTTGCCGTCCACGTTGTCCATGGTGGAGTACCTGAGCGAAACATGTGAGAAAGTGGGTCTTGCCAAGCGCATGCGAGTCTCTCACATCCAAAGGCCAAATGCAAAACTGTAGTACAGCCAAGTAGGCGCCTGCACATTGCGCAATGGTGTCAGCGTATTTGCGAGCGCTCGGGGGTCCAAGGGGCTATACCGGGCCGACAAGATCAGGGACGAACAGCTCGAGCAGAGCTACGTTGCCGAGAATGAAGAAGAAGCCCAGCAGGGTGACCATGTTCGGGGCCAGCCATAGCGGCAGGAGCTCGACGAAGGCATTCCACTGTATCACGGGGGTGTCAACGTCGCGAGCGGCGGGCGGCGGGGGAGGCGGCGCATGGGCGGCGTACGTAGTGTTTGAGAATGTAGCGCGAGGTGAAGCTCTTGTCGACGCTCTGGTACTTGTACGTCTTCAGATGGGCCAGGGCCTCCTCCGACACACATTCGTGAGCGGCCGTGTCTGGTCACAGGCGCAGCTGTCAGCGGTTGGCACGGAACGGAGCGCGGATTGGATTGTACATCGGCTCTGGATCTGGTCATGGATCTGGGACTCGAGGTCTCCGGACTTACTCTTCCCCATGCTTGCAGGTTGGACTCGGGTGCACGGGCTCAGGGAAGGCAAAGAGAAAAAGAAGAGAAGGTTCGGAAGGCGTGGGAAGTCGCGACGCCATGCACCCTACGCGGATCGGAGTGTTGCGCGGACAGTTGGTCAGGGCGGAAGCTCGGGGGGCGGAAATTCGCCAGCCGCGGCCGCATGGGCTCTGGAGGATCAGATGGTGCCAGTGTGCCAGTGAGCCAGTGCCGAGCGCCGCCCAGCGCCAGGGGTCTGTCTGCGCCCGCGTCGCCCAGCTCGCTCATGACGTGCCACACGCCGCCGTCTGGGGAGAACTCGTGAGATGTCGTTGTGTTCCCCCGGCCGCGTTGGTCGCAAACACAAGCATTCCTATCGCTCTGTGCCGCCGTCCCTCAAGCGCCCCCCGATAAGCCTGCCCGCCCGCCTGACTCGCGCGCCCCACGCCGCCAGCAATTTTTGTGCAAACCACTGCCTGGCGTCTGGCACCACATCCGCCCGACCTGCTGCCACACAATCTAGACGCCCTCACCGCCGGCTGCGTCGGCACCGCTGCTGTGGCGCAACCAGGTGGGTGCGGCGGTGCGGCGGTGCGACGGCGGTGCTGCCTGCCCACTGCGCCTCGCGTCAGCTCCACCTATTCTTCGTTTCCATTTCACACTTCACTGCCCCGATCGTGCCGAGCCCAGAAATAGATGCTCTCAATTGCCTGCAGGCTACCTATGTGCTGTCGTCCCATCCATGTCATGACTTCATGTCCTCGTGAACCATTCTGCCGTGGCATCCCAATTAGGGAACCCCATTATACACCACCACGACCAACCCATCACCCAATGCTTGGGGTCGGCTGAAGTGCGCTGGAGCCCACCCTTTCGCAATGCTCGGATCTTCAGCGACCCGTAAAAGGACGGGTTGCGTCATCCGCGGTGTCGCCGGCGAACTTGCCCAGAGGGTTGTTGACGGTGCCGCCTGCAAGGTTTGCGAGGCCGTTCTTGACGTCCTTGAATTCTTTCTGGTCGGACGCGGGCACCTTGTTGATTTGGTCTGCATCGCGTCAGCAAGGCCGGGATCAAATGACATGCAGCAGCACACGGCATACCCTTGACGAGGTACGACGCCTTGTTCTCGCCCATGGTGCTCAGGGCCTTCTCCTCGAGCTGGCGCTTGAGCGCTGGCGGGATACCGAACAGGTAGACGTAGACGGTTAGGGCGGCGAGAATGCCGGCAAAGACGGAGAAAAACGTGGTTGCGGTGGCCATCTTGGCTGGATTAGGCGGTGCTAGCGGCCCAGGAGCGTGATTCAGTGGTAGATCGGTCTGCGACTAGCAATAGGAACACGGCTGAGGTTTATGCCGGCGGATGGTGTTTATAAGAGGGTGTTGCGCCTGCGACGGCTATGACGTCTGTCGCCGGGCATGGAAGCTCGCAAGCTGGTTTTGGCGGGCGTGGCCTGGTTGCCGCCTTGCACGGCAGCGTGCCAGAGCCGGCGGCCTTGGAAGCCGCGGCGAACTGCTGGTCCGCGCCTGCGCAGCTGAAGGCGGCAGGCGCAGTGCTGGGCGAGACGGCGGCGTGCGCCTCCAGCGGTTGGTGCTCTCGCAACTCTCGCCTGGCCGCCGCCAATCAGGGCGGGGCAGAGACGGCGCCCGCAGCCGGGGCAGCCCAGTTCATCCCAGTTCAGGGTCCGTTGATAGCGGGCACGAAACCGAACGGCCTGGTGTTCGCACTCCCATCTCCACGTTTCGCGCGTCTTGAGACACTAGCATAGCGTTTACGAAGTCGGCTGCTAAGCCACCTCCATATCAGCCGCACGGTGTCAGCCTCGCGCAGAGCGGAAGCCGTGCCCCGCCTACCAGCACAATTATCAGCTCCAGCCGCTCACACCCACGCAGGCGCCGTCGTGAGACCTGTACTTTCTTTCGTCACAACCTCTTTTTCCGTCCTTGCCCTCGGGTACTATACCTGGCGCTCAGCCTGACCTTCGGGCCGTTGCTTCCACGCTCCCCTCTCGCATCTCCGCTCTCTGCTGCACCACTTCTCCGCCGCCCTCAGCTTGACCGAAAACCTCCTCCCTCCCCCCACCTGAGAACAATCGCGAGGAAACAGAAGCCGCAGCCGTCAAAATGAGTCGTAGGTTGTCCCCGACGCCATTGCCGCATGCAGTGCTGACCGCGCCCCGCGCTGTTCAGTTTCAGGCATGCTGAACAAGCTGCACGGCCAGCCCGACAGCTACGACAAAAAGTGCGTGGTGCCGCTCCCACTCCCGACTGCTTCCTGCTGAACCATTCCACGACAGGGCCAAGTACCGCTTCGGCAAGACGCTCGGCGCCGGCACATACGGAATCGTGCGCGAGGCGGATTGCCCTGACGGCAAGGTCGCGGTCAAGATCATCCTCAAGAAGAATGTCAAGGGCAATGAGCAGATGGTCTACGATGAGCTGGAGATGCTTCAGCGCCTGAAGCACCCGCACATCGTCCGCTTCCACGACTGGTTTGAGTCGAGGGTATGTGGGCACTGCGCCTACAAGAGCAATTGGTGCTGACGCTTGCCAGGACAAATACTACATCGTCACCCAGCTTGCCACTGGAGGCGAGCTGTTCGACCGCATTTGCGAGAAGGGCAGGTTCACAGAGAAGGATGCTGCCGAGACCATTCGTCAGGTCTTGACCGCCGTCAACTACCTCCACCAGAACAATGTCGTTCACAGGGGTAAGTACGCTTGAAGCCCGCTTGGCTGTGCGTTTGTTGACGGTTGCGTAGATCTCAAGCCCGAGAACCTGCTTTACCTGAGCCACGACGAGGACTCCTCTCTTGTGCTCGCCGATTTTGGAATTGCGAAGATGCTCGACACCCCCGACGAGCAGCTCACTACCATGGCCGGTTCCTTTGGATATGCTGCCCCGGAGGTCATGTTGAAGCGCGGACACGGCAAGCCCGTCGACATGTGGTCCATGGGCGTCATTACCTACACCCTGCTCTGCGGTTATTCTCCCTTCAGGAGCGAGAGCTTGGCGGACTTGATTGAGGAGTGCAAGAACGGCCGTGTTGTGTTCCACGAGCGGTATTGGAAGGAAGTCAGCAAGGACGCGAAGGACTTCATCAACTCCCTCCTGGTGCCTGAGCCTGAGAACCGTTCTACGAGCGCGGTAAGCAAAGAATCGCTGTTCGGCACAACACAGATTACTAATTTTCCATACAGGAAGCCCTCGCGCACCCCTGGCTCAAGGGCGAGACTGCGTCGGACCACAACTTGCTGCCCGAGATCCGCGCTTACGTCGCCAAGGCTCGTCTTCGCCGCGGCATCGAGCTGGTCAAGCTCGCCAACCGTATCGAGGCGCTCAAGATGCAGGAAGACGAGGAGGAGGACGTGCCCGGCGAGGCGGACGTGCCGGCGAACGCGAAGGAGGCTGCCGGCGAGGCGCTTGGAGGCGCCTCCGACGCACCCCCTGCCTCTCCCCACAAGAGAAGTCTCAGCAAGATTGCCAAGGGTGCCATCTTCCGGGAGGTCGTGCTCGCAAAGGTGCGCGAGATGAAGGCGGAGGAAGACAGGAAGAAGTTCGAAGCCGAATCGGCCGCGAAGCACTGAGGGGTCTACTGTTAGATACATTCTTGAAGCGGGCCGTTAGAGAGCAGAAAGGCAGGCATGCATGCTGCCGGGGATTTCATTGCATGGGCTCCGTGGTATTCATGTTGATTAGCGATACCCTGTAGGAAGAGAAAAAATTGACACAAGCGGTATCTGTGGTCGCAAACAGCGTTGGGTTGGCGTGCGTGGTTCGTTGAGAGTGGAGGGTGTTGCCGGTCACGTGCGGTTCCTTAGCTGGAGTTCGGGCCAACACCCTGCTTGGCACCGCGATCGAGACGCGATTGAGCTGCTACTGGCAACACGCTGCTGCGCACCACCGCGACCCCCGAAGCGCATTCACGCCCGCCGAGCCCCCAGGCCTGCTGCGCACGCTGCTCCCGGCGCAAGCACCCGCAAGCACCATGGAGCGCGAATCGAAGCGCAAAGCCGCACCGCCTGCGACGCCCGAAACCGAGGGTCGCGCATCCAAAAGACAGAAGCTGCCGGTAAGTGCGCGCGCTCCCAGATGTGCGGGGCCGTCATTGCGAGGTGGCGCTTGGTGCCGCAGTCAGGGCTGTGGATGCGTCGCGGTCGGGCTTCCTGGTCCAACGCGCGACGCTTAACGGGCTTCGGCCTTGACCAGCACCAGGCTGTCCACCCTACCCGCTCGCTCCCCTCCTCAAACCACCGCAGCCGCCGCGAGCTCGCCCGCCTGGCATCAGGCCCGCTGCAACCATCGTCGCAATGCGCCCTTTCCGCCCCCAACGCTGACACAATGCGCCGCGCTCCAGGACGACGACAATGGCGAGAAGGAGACGCCAGAGACGACTTTCGTCAAGGGAATGAAGTTCCTCGAGACCATGAAGGCGGCGAAGGATAAGACGTGAGTGCTGCTGCCGCTCCGCCCTGCGCGCATGCAGCCCACCGCTGACCTGCTTGACCGAATCGCAGCGGCCGCCCCATTGCGACCAGCTTTCTCGATCTCCCCGACAAGGTACCTATCTGCGAGCAGCACCTCCGCTTCTCCGCATCTGGTGTCTGACCTGCCTGCAGAGTTCCATTCCCGAGTACTACGAAGAGATTAAGCTCCCCATCGCCTTCAGCACCATCGAGGTACACTTTCCCCTCGCTCTCCTGCTGCCCAACCATCTCATAATGCGCCTGATACTTCCGCACGTTGCTCAGGAGGAGGTTCGAGAAGGCCAGGGCCATGCTTGCATGGACGCAGACGCGCTGCAAAGTCCCCATTGCGCAGGTAGCAACGGCTAACTTCGCACCAGGCCAAGCTGCAATCCAGAGGGTATCCCACTCTTGCCGCCGTCGAAAGCGACGTCAAGCGCATGGTCAACAATGCAAAGCAGTTCAACGACAAGAATTCGGCCATATACGCCGATGCCGAGCGCGTGCGCAAGACAGCCTCCAACTTCATGACCAAGAACAACCCGGCCTACAGGACTCCAGGATACTCGGCCATTGCCACGCCCATCCCCGGGGAAGAAGCAAATGGCATTCCCAGCAGCGTCACTCGCCAACTCAGTGAGCGCCCGAAGCGTAATGCTGTAGTTGCTCAGATTGCAGCCCAGAGTACGCAGCCTACTCCGTCAAGGACGCGCAAGTCGGACAGACACTCGACGCCACGCCAAGAAAAGACCCCTGGCGAGGAGACGGACTTTCGAGGCAAGACATTCCAAGAGGCTCAGGAAGCGCTTATCCAGGAATTCATCCACTACGTTGACCCGGAAGAGTAAGCCCAGGCACCACTCATCCATGTTCACGGTCTTGTGTTGACAAGCTAGCAGAGGCCTTCAAATATATCAACCGTTCGTCAACCTTCCCAACCGCAGTCTGAAGGAGTATTACTCTACGATTACCACGCCCATGTCCCTCAATCATGTCATGAAAAGGGTCCGGGGCTGGATCAACCGCGAACACGGCTTCAGTGGAACGAGCGACTTCAAGAACTGGCAGCAGCTTGAGGAGTGCGCCAGTCTTATCTGGACGAATGCTCAGCGGTTCAATGAGGATGGCAGTGAGATGTACAATCTGGCCAGCGAGTTCGAGGTAAGTTGCATCCGCTCTGGTCTACCCAAGATATCTAACGCTTCCCAGGAACATTTCAGGAAACGACTAGCGGACGCAATGGAGAAAGTGCCGGCGCCGAAACAGACGATTAAGCTTACCATGGGCTCGCAACAACAGCAACAGTCTCAGCAACAGAAAACGCCCGCCCTCAAGCTCCGTCTGGGCGCAAACAAGAACAGTCCTGCACCAAACACTTCGACGCCGGGAACACCTGGTGGACGTAGTTCAAGCACACCGGGCGTCATTGTCGACAGCGATGCGTTAGAACGACAGCAAAAACATGTGCAGGCGGGAATAAACGGGGGTCCGCCATCATCCGGAGGCCCTGTATGCATCCCTTTCAGCTCCGCATTGATAGTCTACCTATACAGCTGCTGACACGCGATATACAGGGAATTGGAACCGCACGCAGCGGATCGGCCGCTTCACCTGCCCCTAACGGGGTGAAGAGCGAGAATCAAGCAGGCCAGTCTCCCGCGCTCGACAGCATACGCCCTTCTAGCGCGGTACCCGACTCGAGGCCGGGCGCACCATCACGGCCCTTGGATGGTTCAGTAGCTCCACCGGGAGTTTCTCGTCCCGCAAGTGGAAGCCCATACACCAATGGGCACATGGCGATGCCTCATGCCTCTGCTCACCAGCCCAACGGCTTTGACAACAAGCACCGTCAGCCTGGATTTGGTATGCTCTTGGTCAAATTTGAAAGCCTTGTCTTCCCTGCTGACTGTGAGGCAGATATTGCGGACGCGCTTCTTCCCAACATTGCCATCCACAGCCACCCGGCTCTGAAGCTCAGCCGACCGTTCAAGTTCAACATTCCAGCGTCCAAAACACTCTCGCAACAATCCATCACAATGTCCCTTCCGTGCTCGCATTCGTCAATCCAGATCAAGCCGGTTGTGCCGGTGGCGCAAACGCAACGGCCGTGGCGACTATTCGTCAACGTCAACAACACGCGCATTTCAGAAGTGTACCAGCCACCAACACAACAGCAGCAGCCCAACTCTAGCGGGTCGCCTGAAAAGCAGCAGCAACAACCACGCGAGAAAGGCCATCCGATCTTTGAAGCCAGGCTGCAGCCGGGGGTCAACCGGATTGACGTGGAAGTGGTTGCGGGAACTACACCGATGCAGGTGCGTGGACAGCCGGTGCCAAAAGAGCGGGATGCGGTTGAGATGGAGAAGTGCACGGTCTTTGTCAACTTGATGAGGGCATAATGATACAACAAACAGGTGGCATGCTCTATCATCGCATAGCATCGACGATGAGTGGTGGGTTTTCTATTCTGAAGGCAACGACAGCCCAGGGGTTTTGCACATCAATACTGCATGGTACCTTCGGGAAGAGTTGCGCGCTTCAGTGCTAGTTTTGTTTTCTCATATCCAGGTCCTTCCAGACGCATTTCCAAGCGGGTGGTGCTGGTAAGCAGGTTGGGTTATTGGCAAATGCGATCAGGTAAACACAGGCCCGCGCAGTGGTGTAGGATTGGGCGGATTTGAGTGGTCGTTGCAAAATCGATTTCTATATCTTCGAGACTGATCAGTACAGTTGCACATGCATGCGGTGCTCCGATATCGTACATCGTCCACGCACCAACTCACGCTCCCTGGAAGAGGCGGTGCATGGCCCAATCGGAACATAGCGCAGTCTTGCCTTCTCCAGTTCTTCTGTGCCAGCATTTCCCCTCACTCCCCGGAGGCGTAGGCAGTAAGTGATTGACAAAGTCCGACGTCGGACTGACGTAACGAATGGTTCACACGGCCACGGCATATATCAGACAGCTGCATGTTTATCCGGGCTCGAAAACTACAAATACCCTCCAATACTTCCCGGCTGTTGTATTCAGTGAAGCTTGTCACACGAACCACAAAACGCACATCCGCCATGTCTTTCGCGCGCGCCTTTTCCCGTCCCACCTTCAACCCTTGCCTCGTCAACCTCCCCAAGCACGCCCGCCCCTTTTCACGCCTCGCGCCTCGCCTCGCCCCATCATCATCTTCTTCTTCCCCCAGTGACCCATCCTCCCCCAAGATCCTCCTCGAAGACGCCGCCAACGGCTTCGGCCACATCCGGCACAACCCGGTGCCGCCCAAGCCGCGACGCCGGGGCGTGACGGAGATCCGGGGGCCCTACTACAGCGCCATGGGCCCGCGCTACCTGTCGGACGTGCTGGAGACGGTCGGCCACCACGTCGACGGGCTCAAGTTCGCGGGCGGCTCCTTCTCGCTGTTCCCCGAGCCGCGCCTGCGCGAGCTGCTCGACGTCGCGCACCGCCACGGCGTGTACGCGTCGACGGGCGGCTGGATGGAGCACGTGCTGGCGGGGGCCGGCGGCGAGGTGGGCAAGGCCGTCGACCGCTACCTCGACAAGCTGCGGGACTTGGGCTTCGACGTCGTGGAGGTGAGCACCGGCTTCTTGAGCCTGCCGCCCGACGACTGGGTGAGGCTCGTCGAGCGCGTGCATGAGAAGGGGATGAAGGCGAAGCCGGAGCTGGGGATCCAGTTTGGGGCCGGCGGCGACACGGAGGCGGGCGAGCTGGAGGCCATGGGGACGAGCGATCCGAGCCGCGTGACGGGTTTGGCGAAGAGGTTCGTGAGGGAGGCGGGCGTGGAGAGGTGCATGATTGAGAGCGAGGGGATTACTGAAAACGTGACGAAGTGGCGGACCGATGTCATTCAGCAGATCCTGAGGGAGGTGCCCATGGAGAATGTCATGTTCGAGGCGGCGGACCCCAAGGTTTTCAACTGGTGAGTGGGCCCCCTGTCTCCCCTCTCTCCTTTCCCTTCTTCCTTCTCTTGCTCTCTCTCTCCTGTTTGTGGCTTCGAGCTGATACGTTGTTGCTTTGCGTAGGTACATTCGTGAGTTTGGCGTTGATGTCAATCTCTTTGTGGATCACTCCCAGATCGTGCAGCTGTCATGCCTCCGTCACGGCATCTGGGGAATGGCGGACACTTTCGGAAAGATCACGACTTTCCGACCTTGAAGGAGTTTCTGCGTGGCCCGATGAGACGATGTAGCCCGGTGAGATTGATTTCAGTTAGCGTCTGCCGGTCCTTGTGTTTCTCCGCTACTGGTTGGCCGATGAATTCCATCACCAGTCTGTTGTAGATGCGACTTTTGATATGTAAATCGCTTACTAAATACCTTAAAACCAAACGATGACGTTCCTCTACCTATTTCGTTATCATCTCTCCTTGTTGAAGTGACTGCTCCCCTGTTGAGGGTTGCGCTCTTGGCATATTAACTTCTTAGACTTGTCTCATTTCACGTTGACGTTGTTCGCAACTGTTGTACACACCTCAACCCTTTGACTAGTTGGAAAGATACAGCCTTCGCATCCTAGCTCCACATACTCGGCTTCTTGTAGGCACCAGAAGTTGCGTTAGCACGTCCTCGTTGGCTCACTATCATTAGCATGTCCCAGCAATACAGCCAATTAAGAAAAGGCGCAAAAATGATGCTCCGTCAAGTCTTGCTTAACAGTCATTTGGTATTAGCGTGTATTTTGGTCCCACTATCGTAGTAGTTTCGATAAAAGGAAAAGACCCTCGCACTAAATGTCACAGCTTAAGGTGGAAGGAACGTAGATGTAAATCGAAAAAAAATTTGTGGCCTCATTTCATGCGCAGTTGAAGCAGACATCCGGACGTAGATATCAAGTTATACAATCTCACTCTATGGGCAGTTGAAGGAGATATCCGGACGTAAATGTAAAATTATATCATCTTACTCTATGAGCAGTTGAAGAAGACATCCGGACGCAAATGTAGAATTATATAATTTTGTTTAATGGGTAGTTGAAGAAGACATCCGGACGCAAATGTAAAATCATATAATCTTACTCTATGGGCAGTTGAAGAAGGTATCCGGACGTGAATGTAGAATTATATAATCTCACTCTAGGGAAGGAAGATAAGGGCCAAGTACCAACGGCCAAGTGGAGGAACATAGGAAGCTGGGAAGATGGGATGTGTTCGAGCAATTGCCGACACCAGGCGTAGACGCGAGCATTGAAGCTGTACAATCGCATCCAGATAGTACCTTACCACATGTGCCATGTCGATTTGTTTGGCAGCCTACCAAGTACGATTTCACCAGGGGCCAAATGCACACAACATAAAAGTTTCAATGAACACTCGTAAATTCTCGACCACTATACGCACCCTACGTACTCGCGATCTTCTTTCCCATTTTTCGCTCTTCTCCCTTTTCCTGATCGCTTGGGAAATATGCCCGGGGGTAACCTTTTTTTCGAACGTGCACATCAGGCCACGCATTCACTCACTCGTAACCACCAGCAAACAGGAAGGTGCATATCAAGCCATCATAACAAGTCACTTTTTGAAAGCCCAAATGCACCCGCCGTGTCTAGATATAAAAGAAGAAAGACCTAGGAAATGAAAACCCGAAACCCCTGCGCACAGCCTGCTGCGCCATCCATTTACCGGGTGGAGAAGGCCTTGGTGACGGTGCGCTTGAGGGCGAGCTCCTTCTTCTTGAGGTCGTCGGAGCCGGCATCCTCGATCTCGAGCTGCGCCATGGCGTCGCTGAGAGCAGACTCGATCTTCTCCTTCTGGCCGCGCTTGAGCTTCATCGAGGTGCCCGGGTCCGAGATCATCTCCTCAACACGCGAGATGTAGGCCTCAAGCTGTTGCCTCGACTCGAAGCGCTTGGAGAAGGCCTCGTCCGACGACTTGAACTTCTGCGCTTCGTCGATCATCTTCTCGATCTCGCCGGAAGAGAGCTTGCCGACAGAGTTGGAGATGGTGATGTTGGCGCTGCGGCCCGAAGTCTTCTCCGTGGCAGTGACCTTGAGGATACCGTTGACATCGACCTCGAAGACACACTCGAGGACGGCGTCACCAGCCTTCATGGGAGGGATGGGAGCAAGAGTGAACTCGCCCAGAGAGGTGTTGTCCTCGCAGTTGACACGCTCGCCCTGGAAGACAGGGAACTGAACGGTGGTCTGGTTGTCGGCAACCGTGGTGAAGGTCCTCTTCTTGATGGTGGGGACGGTCTGGCCACGGGGAACGACGGGGGCGAAGATGTTACCCTCCATGGCGACACCAAGCGAGAGCGGGACGACATCGAGCAGGAGGAGGTCGGCAGTCTCAGCCGAAGTGGCCTTGCCGGACAGGATACCGGCCTGGACGGCGGCACCGTAGGCAACGGCCTCATCGGGGTTGATGCTCTTCTCGAGCTTCTTGCCGTTGAAGAAGTCGCTGAGGAGCTTCTGGATACGGGGGATACGGGTGGAACCACCAACAAGGACGATCTCGTCAACCTTGGACTTCTCGATGCTGGCATCCTTGAGGACCTGCTCGACGGGAGCGAGGGTGCCGCTGAAAGCCTTGCCGTTAAGCTCCTCGAAACGAGCACGGGTGATGGTCGAGGCGAAGTCCTCGCCCTCGAAGAGAGAGTCGATCTCAACGGTGGTCTGGGTAGCGTTGGAGAGAGTACGCTTGGCACGCTCGCAAGCAGTCCTCAGACGACGCAGAGCACGGGGGTCACCGCTGATATCTTTTTTAGTTTTTCTCGTGAACTCCTTCTTGAAGTGGTCGAGGAGGTTGGTGTCGAAGTCCTGGCCACCAAGATGAGTGTCACCAGCGGTGGCCTTGACGGTGAAGACGCCACCCTGGATGTGCAGGAGGGAGACATCGAAAGTACCACCACCAAGGTCGTAGATGAGGACGTTCCTCTCCTTCTCGGACTTGCCGGAGCCGAGACCGTAGGCGATGGCGGCGGCCGTGGGCTCGTTGATGATGCGGAGGACGTTGAGGCCGGCAATGGAGCCGGCGTCCTTGGTAGCCTGACGCTGGTTGTCGTTGAAGTAGGCAGGGACGGTGATGACGGCCTTCTCGACCTTCTTGCCGAGCTTGGTCTCGGCAACTTCCTTCATCTGCTCGGTTGTCAGCTTTTGCCGCCCAATTTTGCCGTCGCACAAAGGCTGTGTGGTGGGATGCTCACCTTGACCAGCACCATGGCGGAGATCTCCTGGGGAGAGAAGGTCTTGGTCTCGTTCAGGTACTCGACCTGGACCATGGGAGCACCGTCGTGGTCGGTGATCTTGAAGGGCCACGACTCAATGTCCTTCTTGACGGTCTCGTCGTCGAATCTCCGACCAATGAGACGCCTGCCGTTTGTTAGCAGCTGTTGGGACTGCGCAGGCGGCGTGGAGGAGCCTTACTTGACATCGAAGACGGTGTTGGCGGGGTTCATGGCAGCCTGGTTCTTGGCGGCCTCACCGATGAGACGCTCCTCGGGAGTGAAGGAGACGAACGAGGGAGTGGTGAAGCTACCCTGCTCGTTGGCGACTGCGAGAGAACAGCTGTAAGCATGACGGACGGGCGGAGGATGGCGATGGAGACGTACTGATCTCGACGTTGGCGCCCTCATAGTTGGCAACGCAAGAGTAGGTGGTGCCTGTGGAAGAAAAAGTCAGTACGGCGGGCAGCAGGCATTCGCAGCGGGCGGGACAGCGTACCAAGATCGATACCGATCGCACCGTCGTAGACTTCGTCACTCATGGTTGCTGGGGGATTTTTTGAAAAAGATGGAGTTGAGGGGTGGGGAGGAGAGGAATGCGCGCTCAGCTTGAACCTTTTGTGCTCGCGCAAAATCGAAATTTTGCCTTAGCTAAGGCGGAGCGCGGCCAGAATATCCCTGCACCCGAGGTCCGTGCGCCACGCTCTCTTTGCCGACCGCCTCACGTCCTTGCCATCTGCTCTCACGTGCCCGCCGGCTTTGGCGCCGAAGACTCTCACTGCACCGCTCCATTAACGCCTCGCGGCCTACGTGACGCACGCTTCGGCCCCAGCTATCATCGCCTCCACCCGCGTCCAGTCCAAAAAAAAAAAAAGTCCGCCGTCCCGCCTCGCCAGGCCCTGCGCCCCTCCTACTACCTATTGCTATTGCCCGCGCCGCCCACTGCCCCTCGCCCCAACTCAATTTTCGCTGTGTACAAAATCAAACAACGATAAATGCAAAACGCTAATGATAATGGAAACCCATTGGAAAGGCCTTCCATCACCGGGCGAAGAAGAAGTTCGACTCCCCCGCTATGTGCCCATCCCGGAACGCCACGCCGAGTAGGAAAAACAAAAACGAACCAAAATCAACGACATGACCACTTTTCTTTTGTTTTTGGAAGTTGCAGTAGTTGAGGCCCCTAACCTTCCATGTAGAGGCCTGAAAACGTTTTTTTCTTTCTTTCTTCGAAGGCTAACAAAACGGTCTACCCGATTCCCGACGTCCCAAGCCCTCCTCAAGGTTCTCCTTCCTTTTTCTTCAGCCCTCCAAACTTAAGCTTCAATTTCAACGGCTTTCTCTCTCCATCGGGGCCTGAAGCCGGCGGGCTCGCCGACGGTGGAGCAGTTTGTGGCGCCGGCGCCGTTGGCTTCGCAAGGAACGGCTTCGGCGGCGCTGGAGGAGCTTGATGTTCGGGACGGGGTGGCTTGACATGGTGCGATTCGGGCCGTGGCGGCTTCGGCTTTGGAGGCCGATCGTGCTTCTGGGGCTGCGAGATCCGCAGCGGTCCATTGCCACTGTTGACCTTTTGCGACGAACTGCTGCGCGCTGCTGGAGGTCGCCCGACGATTTGCCTTAGCCGCTCCGGGTTCACCTTCAGTCTGACAATCTTTCGGCGAGCTTTCTTCGGCTTGTCAGGTCTGTCAGGCCTGTCAGGTTTGTCATGTCGGTCATGCTTCTCCATCCTGTCTACGCGATCCGGCATTGTAGAACTAGGAGTAGGTGCTCTTGAGTGGCTTGGAGTAGGCGCCCTGGAGTGGCTTGGAGTAGGTGCCCTTGAGTGGCTCGGAGTGGGCACCTTGGGTGTTTGCGATGGAGCCCTAAAGAAGGGTGATGCCGGCCGTTGGGAAAGTGACCCGAGTGGCTTTACTGATGGGCCTGGTGTCGGCGGCTTTGACACAGCTGCCGGGGTGGGCGGTTTGAGTATCGTAGAAGGAGATGGCCCAGACGAAGGGATACTGCCACTTCCAGTCTTCAAATTGATCTTCAGCGAAGGCACACCATTTGGCTTTGGTGCCGTCGAATGCGCCAACTGCTGACGTTTGTTCGGCTCGTCTGCAAGTGACGGCCGCCTTCGCTTCTCGGCCGCCTTTTGCTGAAGCAGTGATGCCTGCTCCTGCTTGATCTTGCTCAATGGCTTCTGTCGGTACGGCATGCTGCGGTAGAAGCGCATCTTGCCCTTGCCCTGGTTTTGGACCTTCCAGGACAAGGGCAACTTGAGCATGACCTCAAGGGAGGTCTTTGGTTCAAACACCAGCCCGCAAATATCGAGTAGCCTGACCCACTCCTTGAGACTGGGAATTGGAGAAGTAAGCGCATTGCGCATTTGCTCCTCAAACACCTTGTTCTTCCCAAGCTCCGTTTTGAGAGCCTTGATAGCACCTTCAAGCGTCTGCGTGCGCTCGATCATCGCGGCACGGCTATCGGTAGATGCATCTTGTTCAATGATCAGGCCACCGAAGACTTGGTTCGACGGCTCCTCTTTCTTGTCGCCTATCGCGATGCGGGCCAGACCGCGACCAATTAGGTAGTAGAGCTGCTCCCGGACATAAGGCGAAGGGTCGTAAGCAAGTGTGAAGATCAGGTACCGCAAGATCGCCGGATGCCTCATCATGTTGAGATCAATGAGGCATTCCATTGCCTTTAGCCGGACGCTCTCTGCAGCACCTGGCTTGGCGTATTGCAAAAAGTCCAGCATCTTCCGGGGTATTATGTTGTTCTCCATCAGGAGGCACTGGCATTGAAGCGCAGTGACGGTGACGATGTTCTGGTACGAAGGGATCCACTCGTCCAAACGGCGGTGACGCTCAATCTCGTTGAGAGCGTCCCGTTGGAAATCGATTTCGTCTTGCTCATCCTCATCGAAGTCGAAGCTAATGGTGCTCGTGTCCTTGTAGCCAAGTTGCTGTGCCAGGGCGGCCAGGAGCGCCGCCACATAATGACAATCAGAGAACTCATTGTGCGAGTTGTCGTTGAACTTTAGCTTGTCGAGAATCCACATCTTCGATCTCATTAGCCCCTTTCCGCCCGGTTCACGTACTCTAGCAATAGCCCGTGGAATAGCACATTGCACAAGATATTGACTCCGGTCAGAGAAGTCGTTGGAGCGAACCATGTGCGATCCCGGAAGACAAAAGAGCTCCTGGAATATTTTTTCCAGGTGATAAAGGCCGACCCAGTTGAGCTCAATATCATCAATTCTAGGGATGGCACACTTGGCGAGAGCCTCTGTAGCCAGCGTTCGGATGCCGTGGAAATACCGCCGATCCATGACCGTCCGAGTGAGATATGTCGAGACTAGCTTGCTTGGCTGCAAGGACGAGAGATTCTGCAGTGCCTCGGCTTGTGCCACCACATCAGGGTCTTGCTGCAGCTGAGCCACCAACATCCAGGGCAGCTGATTGAAATTGATCTTGCAGATCCACTCAAAATCTGCATCGACTCGGATCCACTCATACTGCTCATTTGCCATCTGCTCTTCCTCCTCCTTCGTCCACTCATCAAAGCCCCATTCCTGGATTTCCTTTTCCGTGTCCAGGACATCTCCCAGGCAGTAAAGTGGGATTTCATCCGGTAACTCGCCGTCGCCATTGAGGTCGATTCCCTGTGCGGCCGCCGCTCTCTCCTTTTGACGCCGGTTTCGTTTTAGCCTCGTGTATTTGGTATTATACGGCGCATCGAACTTCGTAATCGCATCGTGAATAGGGATAATGTGATCGTAGGGAGTTCCGTCGGCCTCATGGACAGTGACCGTCATGGCTCCAGTGAATACTCTTGTGGGTCTTTTCTTTGACATGCCATTCTTTTGTTCGTTGAGGTCCTTGAGAAAGGTCTTGGGGTCGAGGTCTTCCGCTCTGCTCTCCAGTTCACTGCGGTCGCCCTGGGTTTGCTTGACGGTGAACTCGATGACAGACTTCTTCTTGTTGAAACGTTGGGTGACATAAAAGTGCGGGCAGCCTGCACCGTAAACCCATTGTCTCCAGAAGTCCGGGATCGGCTTGCTTTCGAGGTACTTGTCGACAATCTGGATGAAGTCTTCCGTCGAGATTGCGCCGTTTTGAAGCCTTCCAGTCTTCGCTTGGAGCAGCACCTTATAGATGATCTTTGTTACGCCCATCTTTGCCATCCTCTTGATTTTCTGGTTGAGGATGAACATGACCAAAGGCGCTTTCAGTTCCATGAACTCAATCTCAGACGGATCTACATCGAGAAAATCTCCAAGAGCTTGCAAGGAAGGACGGTTGACGTCGAGCTCGACAACTCGGTCAGCCATCTGCTTCATCCTGAAACGGTGCTCATTCCTGCCGCAGAGTTGCTCCATAAAGTCGTCCGACATGAAGTGGGAAAGAGCATAGATCACCCACCAGTCTTGACTGGTCTTGGGGATGACGTTGATGCCCATCCACTGGAATGCAAGAGCGTGAACCAATTTGCGAGTAACCGGGAAGAGTGGATCCAAGACGTCCTCCGGATAGAGAAGAGAATTGCTGCATAGTGTGAGTGATGCGGCATGGGCGATTTCCGGAACAAGATCATCCACGAAAACGATCTTGTAGCTGGTGAAAGGGTAAGAGATGTAGGTTTTGCTGAAATGGTCTGTTGCCTGCGGACGCGTCAACGTTTGCATGGGTCAAGCAGAACGGGCCCTATACCTTTGCCAACGCCATACATGTGTTTCTGACTTCGTCGCTCCTTCCCGGGAGACAGAAGCCATGAACACGGATGGCGGCTTGGCCCATCATTTCGTCATCGTCGCTTTCGCGCAGATCCGAAAGATCGACGTGCTCTAGGGGGCCAACGGCAATCGCGATGTGCTGCGGCAGGACGGCGTTTGCACAAGTGAAGCTGACGGTCTTTCGAGAGGGATCCTTGGGATCGACGATCTGTGACCGTGAGAAACTCTTCTTTCAATTCGGTAACAGGACTACCTACATCATCGGTCATGTCGCCTGAGCAGACGACAGACATCTCCAGTGCCTTGTCTTCTTCAGACAAGCCGAAATTATCAACGTCGGCATCAAGCATTTGAACGTCACCGTCGTCGTGGATGCCATTTGGAAGACCGTTCGTCAGCGCCCCGTTAGTGGAAGGGTGATCACTGATTCCATTTGTTAACGGCGGCGCGGCTTTCCTGAACACGTCGCCGACGGTCCTTGGGCACCTGATGGATATTTCCCATGGATAGCGCGCGCTCGCATCGTCTACGCAGGGGAACAGACAGGAAGCCGAGCCCGTGAACTGGGAGTTCTGAGTGTAGATGTGGGGATATCTTGTGTCCCCCTCTTCCAATCCAGCAAAGTGCAAGCCCTCACGAAAATGCTTGATGTCGTAGTGGACGACGACCTTGAGTGGCGCGAACACTGACCCGCCTGCCGTTAGGTCGCCGAGCATGCTGAGCGCATCGAGCGACGAGGCGTCCAGCTCCTTGATCTTCACTCTCGGTGGGACAAATACCCAGAGATTCTCGTCCGCTACTTCTCCACCATCTTCTTCTACCTTCTGCCGCAAAACCTTGTGGTGGTGAACCGTGCTCTTTTCTGAAAGGTAGATGTGAGAGTGAGGGTCATTGTGATCCCATCTTGCCTCGCGCCCCTCCACCGTGACCCTCTTAATGCGAGCCTGTCGGCAGTGGAGGCGAATGTATGGCAAGTTCTTTGACTGAGGCTGGACATTGATCTCGGCAACTCCACGCACGGAGCGCGCCAAGAAGTCGATGTCGAGCTCGACCTTTGCTGAGTAGACGCTGAAGGACGGGTCGGATGCCGGAGGGGCGGCGGCCGTGGCCGAGGAGAGAGGGTCGAAAGGACCAGGCATTGTGCCGTTCCAGGTGCTAGCCTGCGATCCTCTGCAGCAAAACCCTCCTGCTCATCGCCGAAGTTATGTGCGCATGCTAAGTGACGGTGGGACGCGGAGCTCGAGACGGTCGTATGCGCGGTTGGGCAGACGCAAATGACGGCTCAAAGGCTGTGGTTCGGGAGCGGTGGCGCTGGAGACAGCGACGTGTTCGGTCGCGCGAGGGCGAAGGGTGGGCGGGGTGGTGGCAGAGGGCGCCGGGCGCAGTTGGGTGTCGCAACTCGACTGCAGTCGCGCGGGTGATGCTGCTGCGATGGAGCCTGTGACGCCGCGCTCGTTTCTTGGCGCTCGGGCGGTAGCGCACAAGCGCGTCGCCGCGCCGCGTCTTCAACACCACAACCCGCATCCAAATTTTTACTCACGTGTTGACAGTCGCCGAACCATCTCCCCCCATCTAGATTTCGCCCTTTGGACAGACAGTTGGCCTGTATCACAACGGCTTTACGCGGGGAAGATGGAAGTCATCGGCGAAGAAGCGACGAACAGGAGCCGACTATAACAAAAGGCATTCATGATGCATACGAACAAAGACATGGTCACAAACAATCATTGCTCTTTTCTGCATACAGCAGCCTATGGATAGAGTACACCGCCAGACCTGCATGAAAACACCCGCCCGACGAGCTCGCCGTATATTTTCCACAGCCGCCCATGTAAACTAGGATCAGTCAACCTCCGAAAACGCCATGCCGCCGTAAAGTATGAATGCAGGGATATCCCATTGGCCGTGACTCGAAACGTCTCAACGGAGCGCCATTGTAAAAGCGACATGCTGCTACATATGTTCATAAGCTTACTGCCTCTTCTCCCTCATCATCCGCCGCTTTTTCCGAGCATGTGCACGCAATGCTTCGGGTGTGAGATATTCTTCGGGGAGGGCAAACTCCTCCTCGGCAGGCTCGGGGATTGGTTGACCAAAGGCCGTCACGTTACGGCCGTGCCTCTGCTTGCCCATGGCGGCAGCGCGGAGGTGGGGCTTGGAATAGAAAGAGATGAACGGGCGTTCGGGAGAAGGAGGCCGGTACATGATGGGAGGAGGGGGTGGTCGAGGTTTTGAATGTTTGGTGGAGGAACCGCTGGCGGAAATGGCTTCTTGTTGCAACTGCCGCGCAGCCCAGGCATCAACGTCGCTCGAATTTGGGGGCTCGCCCATACTATCTTCCTCGGTGCGTTCAGCTTGCTGATCGGCTTCTTCGTCATCTTCGTCCTTTGCTTGCTGGGCCTGTTCTTTCTCGAGCCGAAGTCTCTTTTCCTCCTCTTTCCATATCCGGAACTTATCCACCAGCGCCCTGACTTCAGAAATGAAGTAGTCGCGCTTCGGCTCATACTCTTTCTTCTCCGAGTCGGTGATGCCAGTGACACCCATGACACGCAGCCAATCATGGCCAAGCAGCCCGTCCAGAAGACGTTCCAGCTGTACCTTTTCATGCATGGCCCGCTCTTTCTCAATGTTCCGCAGTTGCTTCTCCTTGCGCTCGGCGCGCCTGTGTGCCTTGAAGAAGAAATCATCATCGAGAGGGTCGGTCGTTATGTGGTGTGGCGTGTGGCGGACGATGGTAGAAAAATCGACGGTTTGTATGCCACTGTTGACTTGAGCGAAAGGCTTGTACCCATTGAGTGTCGTGGCGGGGTTGGACGCTGAGTGGGCGGGGGCGAGGAGCGAGGACCGCCTCTTCTCAGGTACGGACGACGCAGAAAGCGAGGAGACAGGCCCAGGGACGAGGACGGGTTCGCTGAGAGGCTCGTCGATAACGTGGACGGGCTCGTCGATGTCGAGAAAATCTGGCCGGGGTCAGCTTCGATATCAGCGCAACACGAACGCGTCTACGCACCAGACTTCCTCTCAACGCCGGCAATCACATCGTCGTAATTGGGAAAGTATATGGCCAGGTCGCTTTTGAGGCGTGAGCCGCCGTCCTGGCTCCTCAACGTCCGTTTGTCCTGGGGCACTGGCAGGCCGCCCTGGGCGTCGGGTTTGGGCGTTGCGGACTGTGAGGGCACGTCATCGTCGCGGAGGTCGAGCTGGGTTTGCACGCCGTTGGTCGCTTGTACCAGCCCCCCATGCGGCTGTGTGACTGTGACTTTGGTCGGAGGTCTCGGGTGCTGTTGCTGCTGTTGCTCAGCGCTGGCGATCGGTGTGGCGCCCTTCCTTCGCGACGAGCCACGATTCCTCGTCGCCGGGCGGGGGCCCAGCAGCTTCAGCGTCTGGCCGGTCGTGGGCGTCGCGGAGTCGTCCGGGGACGGCGCGACGGGCGTGCTGGCGATGGAGAGCGTGTCCTGCGACGCGGGCGCGGGTGCGGAGGGCGCTGCGAGGTTCTCGTTTGACTCGGCGGTCGCGATATTTTTAGGACCTCGACGTGTGAAGCGCCCACTTGAGGAGCGGTTCAATGGTCGCGAGGAGCTGACCATTGTTTGCCGGGGCGCCCAAGGTCATCTTTCTGCTGCCGCTGTCTCAGGGTCACCGCTCGCGACGGGCGTTGTAGAAGCTTGCGAGCTCGGGCGTACCGCGATCGTGTTAGGGGACCCTTCTGAGTTTGGTCGTGGCTGTAGGCGAAGGGAAAGCGTTTCGCAAGGACTCGTCCATTTCACTGTTCACAGTCGCATGCACGCTCACGATCGCCCCGGAACCATTTAGGTTTGCATCTACAGCCGCTGCGCAGAGGCACTGCGGTGGTATTATGGGTCAGAGCGTCAAGCGGCAGTATGCGCACACCTGTCGAGTGGAACGGCGCGTAGGTATGCTTAAGGTTCGCGCGGCACCCCGAGATGCAACCCAGCGCTGTGCACACGCGCTCGCGAGGGGCTTCCCGCAAACGCTTGGTGCTGCTATGTGGGTGCTGCTGCACCAACGCTGGCGCGACCGACGCAGCTTGCAGCCGCACCATATGTGAGTTCGCAGACACCGGCCACCAATTCCTGCCGCGTTTGCTGGCAATGCTGGCAACCTATTGATCCTCGGGCCACCGCCATGTCGTCATCAAATGGGCGCGGATCTCCGTCCTGTACGAGACCTGCGGGGAAGGTCGGCCTCACATGGCCTGCCACAACGAACACATTTTCCAGCGACGACTTCAGACGTCGTTAGTTGCCCCCAAAGAATGTTGTACATTGTTGGTCTGCATCAGCATGAGACATTACGCTCAATGGTGATATGGGTTATTATGCGCCCAAATTGTACTTAAGAGAAAAGAAACTCCTTGAGAACAGGAGACGAGGAAAACTCCGGGTTGAGAAGGACACAACTGTGGTCAGTCAGCGGTGCGGCTCGATATTCTAGAACACTAGGTTGTGCAACGCTAGGCGGCGTGTGTGTGTGGAACGGTCAACGAGTGGCGGCTGGGGGGGGGGGGGGGGGGGG